GTTTTGCAGGTTTGTCAGAGGCTGACACAGAAGAGCACTCGCTGAGCCCAGCACCACCCACACCCATGCAGACCCCAGGGACCCTTGGTGCCTTTGGAGTGGGGACAGCTCTCCCAGRAACCCACACCCTTAAAATGGAGCGAATGGGACAAAAGTAGTAATGAGGTATAGGGTTAGCCAGCAGTGTGTGTGCAATTCTGGGAAGCATAATTTTCAATGTAGTACAGCATTTTTCTGCATTAACAGTGGTGCCAAAATATCCCGACCTTTTAAATTGTCTTCACAAACCTCTCTCAAACAGGTTTCTTAATGATAAGTATCACTTAAATCTGAGGCAAATATAATTGAAAGTTGAAAGATTTTAGTTAACACTTTCTTTTTTGACTCTGTGAGGAGCCAAATGTGRTTTTCCTGCTTGGACACCCTTGAAGGTGAGCTTTTTTGTCTTAAGGCACCTAGTAAAAAGTTTAAAATCTCCACATTGCTTTCAAATAAATGATACAGGGGATTTTAATTAACTTTTCTTTTTCATCCCTCTATGCAGAAGCACTTTCTGTTTGTGGATAACAAGTGGCTGGAAATAAAAGCCAGGGTGGGAATAGAAGGATACAAGGACTTTTTGGACCACAAGCAGCTGATTAAAAAAAAAAAAAATGCCCACACTGTAGTAATACAGTCATTTAGATTTCTTTCTTCTTGTTTATTTTCCTGCTCCAAACAAACACCAGCAAATGCAAATTTCTTCTTTTTTCAGACAACATTAAATTACCTCTAAGTAGTGTTCAAAAGTCCATTATTTAAACATGGAGAAATCTGCATATTTCCTTCTGCTTTCTTTGAAAAACAAAAGTGYTCTCTTTTGAAACACAGCAGGGGGCTCTGTTATCTCTGAGTACAGAGTTACCCCAGGCCTGGCCCAGCCAGGGACAGTGACCTCCCGACTGTGCCAGAGGTGCCAGCTGTGGACCCATCCTTGGGGGTGGACAAGCTATCCCTGATGAATACCTAGGTGAATAGCTATCCCTGGCACAGGGCTGCCAGGCAGGAGAAATTCCACACTTAGAGCAGTGCTGGAGAAGAGAAGGAGATGGGATGATTTTTTTAACATTTTTTAAGCAGGTTTTCTCTGCACATTCCACAGAATRGAAAACACTGGTGGTGCACCTATGCCTGTAAAATTGTTTATGTGGTGAARCACCTTCTGGTGCACACAGACTTAGGACTCCTGCCCCACAGCTGCTCCTTGTCAGACACCATTCCACTCACAAATATGTGGTATTTGGTATTTTATTTTTCTAAAGGGTCCCTGGGACAAAGAACAAACCCYGGCTGCAGTTCATGGGATGAAATTGTGGTAATGCTAAGAACAGAAGTAAAATTGGCTGAAGCAAGATCCCAGTGAATGTTTATATGAGATGGGGATGAGAACAAGGAGCTGGGGGAACGAAAATGATCCATGGGTGCTTGTTTGGAAATGCATTTGGACATGATGTTCCTCTGTCTGCGCTGCCCTCCCTGGAGGGGGATATTCGGGCCTGGGAGGTGCCAGGCAGCTGAGAAGGTGCAGATTTGCCAGAGGGTGGGAGAGGGCTGGGACAGTCCCCCACCCCCACTGTGACCCCTTCCTGGGTCAGATGAGGGCAGAGGTATCCATTGAAGCCTCTYCACATTTGATGTGTCCCCAAAACCTCATGACAGGAGTCACCGCTCAGCTTCAGTCCTGGATGAGCAGGAGCCATCTGGCAAGGGGGCGGCTGCTGGTGGGCTACAACAGCAGCCAACTGAATGCAATAAAACCACACGGGGTATTTTTGGAAAAGCTGACATCTTTCTTTCTCTCTTTAGCACTGAATAATCCAAAAGCCTGGCTTCCTTGCACTGTGGGTCTTGCTGAAAACAACGCTCAATGGGCAGGAAATGCTGCCACCTGGTTTTGACAGTTGCAGACACCRCCACATTTGGATATAAATGAATTAATTATCTCTTAATCTTCAAAATTCAGAAAACTGCAGATGAACTGCAGGTCTCAGTACCTACACTGACTGATAATTTCCATGGGCACACAGGGGAGAGGAGTCTTTGTCTGCAATGCCTCCTATGATGTCATAATCTGCCCTCAGTTTCCAGACTATGCCAACTCAAACTTTCTATTTCCATCATCTTACAAGGAGCTTTCACCTATRACGGTTTTATTGAGTTCTTTAGTGTTAAGCAAAACAATCCAGCTCTGAAGTTAATTGTGTCTGCAAAATGACAGGGATCTTACAAACTGCAAACACCCAGCCCACTCGGGATAAAAATGGTTCATGCAGCTCTAACAGTASACACGGTTGATTGAGAGTTTGTTGGTAATTTGGGTTTTTAGTAAATATAACCCCCACATTTTCATCAGCAATTTGAGTTTAAAAAAAAAAAAGGAATAGCTTTGAATTTCCAGGTTTTTAAAGTGAGCAGCTCAATATCCCCCCTCTTGCCCTCGAGTTCCGGAGCTTTTGCACRTAATGAATAGGACAAGAAGCAGTGTCAGGCCCTTCAGTGGGCAGTTGTGGGGGATGTAAAGGACGTGTCAGCCACYATGTTACCTAAACTAGAGGCATCTCTGCTGTTTTCATTAGCACATTCCTGCTTTGTTTCTAGGCGTGTAAATGRTGAGCAATATCTCTGTCATGGTTTGGGTTTCTGAGAGTCCAAGTAGATTTTTGTGGGCGTTGTGTTTTGGGGAGGAAAGTGAGGCAGGGTGGAAAGGTGGGAGCTGCATCCAGGCAAATCTGTCTGCAGGGACGATTCAGTGCCKTCATGCATGTAAAATGGGTGCTCCAGGAATAAACTAGAGACTTTAAAATCTTCAGCTTTAGGAAAATGTGATGAACAAGCACARGAAATATACCACTGGGAATTCTGGGCCAGGAAATGCTAACTTTAGCTACAGCAGTGCTGTGTCGAAGGGTTGTGGGGCCAGAGTGAGAGGCCCCTTGATCCAGCTCCGTGTCAAAGCTGCCTCTGGAAACCTGCACCCTGTCCTGACCAGGGGAACTGCTCAGATAATGAAGAGGAGTTAAACTCCCAGCACATCTCCCTGGAGTGGGAACAGGCACTCCACCCAGTTTGAGCAGCTTTTATTTGCCTTGGCCAGCTCTTCACTGACACCTTTTCCAGTYTCTCAGAAGGCCCTTTCAAGCATTTTGTGCTCCCTATGAGACTATTTCCATGCACTGTGTATTTCCATGCTGCAGCAACAGCCAGGAGCCAGCTGACATCTTTAACCTGCTTTTAAGGAGGTTCTTGTTTAGTCACACCTTGAACAGGGCTACATCMCAGACAGGCCCTGTGCAAGACGAGCTGCTGAAACAGGACTCCAAGAGCTGACCCCACTAAAGTCCTTCTAGCAGCAGAGCTGGCTGCAGGACCTGGCTGTCTCTGCCCACCCTGGCGAGGAGATGCTGAACCTCACCTTGGATGGATTTATGTAGGGCTGCACTCCATGTTTCAAGGGAAACATTACTGCACAGGGCAAACAGCTGCACTTAAAGCCACATGGAAGCTGCTGCTCAAAATAGAGATACTTCCTCATGCAGCTATATAGAAAAACCTTCCTTAAAAGTTAGTGTTTTCTTTTAACTGCTCTTCTTCCATGTAAATAAAGCAYAGTCCTCATGGCACTGTTGCTATTTTCAACACTAGCTTTTAATTCTAGATTTTGAGATTTAGGGGTGGCCAGCCCCCCTCAGGAAACACCCCACCAGGAAGTTTTAAAGCACCAAGAGCACCATGATCCCCCTAGAGATGTACACACTACAGGGTTTCACAGCCTTGTCTGGATATGGGTGTCTAGACCCAGAGACATTTGTAAATCTTTCCCTGTTGAACCTCTCAAGCCAGGGCAAAACCTTTTCCTGTTGTTTTTTTTTTTCAGCTGAAGATATATGGGCTATGACCACACAGAGTCTCCTTCAGCAGAAAGGACCCTCAGTGAGAGGCCCATGGGATGACCACTGGAGCTGTTGCTATTGTCAAATGTTCCTGCTACCCCTGGGACAGTGGACTCAGTGCAGCTGCTTCAGAGGCCCTTTCAGGAAGAAGCAGAGGAGTCTCCATAGCATCTTCCACTGCAGGAAGTGCAACCATCCCATTATAATGGCCAGGATTCATACTGGAGAGCAGGGGAGAGAAATGTGGAGGTATTTATGCAGCGGCACGGGCGATTCCTAATGGAGCAGGAAGTTTCTCTGCCATGTTATCTATTGCTTCCCTTTCTGGTCACTACCAGAACACTGCAGGTAAATTTGTGRTCTCAGCCTAGTGAGCAGTGGAGGGCTGTTTGCCCTGGGAGGGCGATGGGGTCCTTTTGCTATGGCTCCCGCTCTGGTTTTCTACACAGGAACCAAGGGATCAGTACTGGGAGCTGCCCTGGTCCCTGGCCTGGGAGAGCTCCTGCCCAGGGCACAGCCAGCACGTTCCTGGTGGCACAGTAAGCACCGACCCACCTCCATCCGAGTCAGCATTAGCTCAGCTYCAGCCCCCTTATCCATTCTCCACTGCAAGGAACCAATTTGCTTGTGGTGCAGCTCCAGGGAAATTAGAGCCTGATGGAGTCAAGTCCACCAGCAAGCAGAGGGGAGATGTGCCTTTGCAAAGGCAGAAAAAGRTAGCTGGGAAGCTCTGAAGATCCCCTTATCTCCCCACCAGCTGTGGGAGTTGTGAGGAGCCTACAGCAGTGCCTTTCCCTCCCCACTTTCACCGGTGTGACCCTGCCCCTSGTGGTTTCTGCAGTGCCTCTGACACACTCCTGTTACTGCACCACCACAGTGCATGGCTTGGACCAGCACTGCTCAGAACTGGCACCTGTGCTCCACTGCAAAAGCACACGGCTGCCTTTAATGCTGCACTGAAAAATGCCCACGGCATCCATCAGTCTGATAGAGACCCAAGTTCTGCAAAAACATGAAACTTTTAAAAATGTGTTTATTTAGTTCAAGTTTTGATGCAGATTTATGTTTATGTTTTATGAATTGTCACTCCCAGATGACTCAAGCACACACAGTTCTGACAGTTTAAGCTGAACATTTCCATTTACTGAAACCGGTATTCGTGCAAAACCCTTTTTAATATAACGAGTAAACCTCCTCAAATCCTCCATATATTCTGTATGTGGATCAGGCTGTGTGTGTTTAGGGTGTATAAGCCTGGAGTGGAGCAAAAGGTGAGCATGACACTAGAAAGGTGTCTYAAGGCACAATGAAGCAGTATTTGATGAAGAGGATAGAGCCTTCAGGAGATGTACTGAGAGCAAGCACAGACTGTGAATTGGAGGTGAATAAATGATAAATCAAAATCCATTGCAAGGTAGTTGAGGAMGTCATAGAATAGAAGCAAGAGAAGTCTCTGAATAATTTGGAAAGGTCTGAGGGGGTAATCAGGTAATCAGGGGGTAATCAGGGGGTAAGGATGTGGTTCCAGAGCCAGCAGAGGAGGGTGGCAAGCAGATTCATGACTGGGAACACCAGGCAGTGATGTGTAGCTGGAAAAGCCTGGAAAAAACACTGGAAGGTGGTATTGTTCCTGTTTTGGTTTTGACATTTATATGCTCAGTTCTAGTGCTCTGGCACATGTGTGAGATACAATTTCTGAGATTAGAGACCCAACATGATAGAAGAGTTCTGGGTGTTTCTAAAAGATCTTTATACATCTGGAAGAAATTTTTGAAATTGATAAAYCACTGAGAGGTTGGTTCACATAAATAAGGCTAAAAAGTGTGGAACACTGTGATGCTTAACTCACTGCTCTCTTCCCAGTCATTAATTTCATCCTGACGAGTTCAGCCAGCAATGTCAAGCAGAGGGGTGCTCGCAGAATTCAGTGCAAATATTTCAAGAATTGTACAGGGGCCTGTTGCTGGTAAAAGACCAAACACGGGTATTGTTTAATTGTCTTGTGGAATCTTTTAATGAATAGTTGCAGGCTTTTTGGGGATTAGCCTTTAGGAATTTAAAGCTTTGTTTTGCCTGATGTAACAACTGCTCAACTGCACCAACAGGAATAACTTTACAAGTTTATTTCTATTTTATTAAAACCAATGTATACAGCTTCAGAAGGCAATTAGTATTTATTTAGCTAAAATGTTTCAAATATTAATAGCAGCTTCAAAATGTTGACAAACCCTAAAGCCCAGCAAGTAACATGCTTTGATGTGTTTGTCTTCTGGCAGCTGAAGAGAAAACTGATTTAAAATGTAAATAATTAATTTGCTTAATATTTTCTTTCCAAACGAGAAATCTGTTTGGTTTTTTTTTTGTCCAAACTGTAGTTTCGATTACATTTTATTTATATTATTTTACAATGTATCTCTCAAAAAAAATTGAGATAACTTGCTTGGTGACACCAGCTGACCTGGTTCTGGCCTCCAGGTAACTCACTGTGTGGGTTTGGCACRTGTTGGCACATCTTCCTACCTATCCATGGGCACACCTGTTCCAGTAGGGTCAGCAAGATTATYTGGTTTATTTAAAATTAAATTAATTATTTTTTTCAATTAATTTTTGAGGGATTGCTGCCATAATAAAGATATTTTACCTTTTAGTATAAGTACCTTAGATATTTCAAAATATGTCTCTACGTGGGTTTATTTCTATTTCAAAAWTTTATTTAATTTGCTCTATTTCAAAATAGAGCAGTTATGGAGGCCTGATTTCCAGCTGGGATAAGTCAGCTTGCAGATATTGGAGAGGCTGTGATGGTTGCAGCAGCTGAGGATTGAAATTTACAGTTTCCCTAAATATATGATGCAGATGTACAGCTCACACTCACAGTGGCAACTTAACACATCTCTCTGGCATGCATAAGCACCTCTCAGTCCCAAAGGAACTCTTCTACCTCTCACCCACAGAAATAATCTTTGAAACACTGAAAACACAACAACTAAACAGAATCTTGTACCAAAAAGGCATGGCCAGAGAGGAATTTAAGTTATTTTTGAAGAGTATCATGAATACAGCTGTGAGCCAAAGCCTAGTGATGYTCCAGCCCTTTCTGCTGCCAGCAAATCCTGTGAATGCCTGTAGGACACCAACCCTGCTGTGAAAAGATGCAGAGGAGGCAATAAGCTCAARGGATCTTCAGCTGGCTGTTGGGGCTGCTGCAGTAACTGAGGGCACACACCTGTGACATCCCTGGCATGCTCCTGCTATGACCCTGTGACGCTCTTAGACTGAATTTAACATCCTGCAAACCTATGAACTCTGCCCACCTGGCATCTGACACTGTGTCCTTCCATGAGATCCTGTTTCACAAGCAGATCAAGGTTTCTAACCAGATGGCAACGTTTACACTTTTCAAAGTGTCATTTGATTTCTCCTCTGACATTAAAAGACACTGCATCTCYACACAGTCAAGTTATTTACAATGGCAATCCCTGCACAGGGTGTATTAAATTCAGCCAGCTAAACTTGCAAACAATTACCTGCAAAGTCACCCCAACAKTTACTACTGAGGCTGTAAAGGCTGCAGAGCAAGCAGAGATTTCTGAACACAGAGCTGCCTCCCCCAGCTAGAGACCTTTGCAAAGGAGCTGAGTCCTGCAGGCTCCCTTTCCAGAGAGTGGRGAGTGCTCTGAGGGGATGGGATCTGCCCCTGCTTCAGAGGTGTGTGTGGARACCCACACTCCTGGCTCGTGTTGGCACCGACAGGGCAGATGCCTTCATGGAAACCAAGTGGTCACTTGAACAATTAATACAGCAGAGGAATGCCAACACGTTTTCAGCCAGCAACAGATGAGTCAGTAAGTGTGTTTTCCTCCACTAAAACCTGTACATATWAACCCATGTTCCTCTGTAACTCAAGGGCAAAAAGAACAAGTTCTGCTTCATTTTTTTTTCAACTCAATCAGATGCTAAAAGCTGTTCACAGGAGACAGCAACAATGAGTCCCTTAGTGCCTTTGCCCTGTCCCCTAGTCAATTCTAGTCCCAAAACGCAGTTTAGTTACATGCTGATGTGTCATGTTTCATGAGGGTAACATATTTACAGGCTGACTGCTCTTATTTACATTGCTTTCATCTCTTCCTTTCATTGGCATTTTACAGCATCATATTACCAATTCAGCCTTTGGGAAAGAGGCCAGTGGATATAAATCTTTGGGAAAAAAAGATCCGGAGTGGATTAGCGAGTGACAGATGGTAGGCACTGTGTCTCACCACGCTGAGGCAATCCACATGGGAGGCAGGCTGCCAGGCACAGAGCGTGGCACGAACAAGTTGTGGCCTTACACAAGTGATGGCAAGCAATGCAGAGGCCATTTGAGCGAGGGAGTGAGGAAAASAAGTGCAGCAGACAGTTCATATGTGGTCATGGTGGGCAGGTGTCAAAGAACCAAGCAGCATTCCAAGACTAAATTCCTGGGATCCATCAGGCTGGCACAGGGCAGCTGCACACCCATRCACCAGTGGCAGTCTGTGATTTACAAACACGTGAGGTTGGCTCAGGCATAGCCTCAGAAAGCAGTGCAGCTTCCTGCTTTTGGGACTGGAGCCAGTCTGCTTTACACCGGGCTCACATACCTCTGCACAGCATGTACCCTCACAGCTGGTCATTCTGCTTCACTGCCCCCAAGGACTCAATTTAAYCTGGTTGAAACAAAACAAAGGTGCTCACAGAACTCCACTCTGCCAGTCCTTCACCCCATAGCAAGAACAGATCTCTTCAGTAGCAGCGGCTGTGGCAGCGCTCCAGCTCTGAAGATCACAGGCTTCCCAGCTCAAACTACAGCAGACACGATGCACCAGTTCTTTGCCACCAAATCCTCCCTCACAAACATGCAGCACCCTTTTTGTATAGCATGATGTAAGGCCATGCCCAGCCAAACACCAGCTACTCCAAGGGAAGGGCTGAGTTACAATTAATGCCAGACTGGGAAGTCAYTTTGCAATATGGATGGTCATTTATTTATTGTTCTATCATGACACATCAAATGCTATGGCTGCAATATCAGAACATGKTGTCATTTATAAAATACCAGTATTATTAATGTGGTGGTAAGATRCTGTTAACATTTACAGAGAGGTGTATAGTAATTCCATAGCTTTGCCATAGTGACAAAACACCCTGGCAAGCAGATGATAGATGGAATACAGTGACACTTTATTATCATGGTTTTTCCTCCTTGATTACTGAATGGCCTATAATGATACCAATAATTGTTGCTGAATCTAACCCTTTTGAACACGGTAGATAGATCCTTTGCTTTTACAGTATGCGTCAGAATAAAAGAGAAGCATCTGAAAAATAAAGAGAAGGCATTTCCTTACAAAATGAGATGAAAAAATAAAATAATATAAATGGAACTTTCAAGTGTTTCTTTTTATATTTAAAGCTCTTATATTTCAATAAACTGTATTTAAACATTCTTAAATAATCATTCTGTACCTTTGATTTTCTGTTTCACCTTAGGAAACAAATAGAGTAATCTCACTATAAATGTGTGCAAATAGAAAATATATAAATATATTTATGGCCCGCGTCATAAAAAGGTGGTCTCGGAATTGTCATTTTTACAATGATCAGTTGGGGTTCCTTTCATTTTCTCCTCCAAGTTATTTGAGCTCTGTTCTTTTAAGCCTTTGAAGTCCAAAGAAGAGCCAAGCACACACATACTGTCCTGTGTTTCATTTTGTAAACTGCTTGGTGACACCTGTAAGACAGTCCCAGCGTGACTGAACAGCGGAGTTGATGTGATCCACTTCAACAAACTGAAGTCTGCTTGCTCAACTGCTGAGCTCCATGGGAATGCTGCTCCCACAGGCAACGACTCCACCTCTGAAGTGCCACATCGAACTTCATGAAATCCCATGGACCTTTCCAGACTACTTGCTGATGTGGGGAGCTTGTTTTCCTCATGCAACACAGCACCCTGGTGAGAGGCAGCCGCAGTCTGATCTGTTTTGTGCTCTGCCTTTGTGTGCTCTCGGAAAAGTGACTCCCCTGTTTGAGGAGATGCTGGCAAAGGAGTGCTTTGGTTATTAGCCTTATAACCATCACTGGCATTTGAGCCAAGGCTCGGTGAGAAGCTGTCTGTGAAGMGTCGTGTCTGACATGTTGTGTCCTTTACATTCAACTTGGTGAGAAGCTGGGTGCGAGTCTCTGGGGACAGTTTACTCAACTGGCGTCCAAGCTGAAGCTGGGTTGGGAATAGTGTTCCCTGGAGGGTTCTGTACAGGAATCTGCAAGAGGAGAACGTGCACATGAAAAGAAATGGAAGAAAGAAATACCCAATACATTACTAAGAGAAAATATCCAAGACAAAAGTACAACACAAAAATAAGAGAGTTCTTTGTGCTGTTCTCGTGCTCTACACAAGACAACTTGCTTGGACAGGTCTGAATGCTGTGCCAATGTTTTGATTAATAACAAGCAATTAATAACAAACAATAAATCTGTGTCTTTAGCCAGTGATCCTTGTGATTACACACAGTCTTTCATCTTTCCTTAACAGGAATCAAAGGCAATGGGGATAAGTCTGCAGAGTGAGCCTCCCACATCCACAAATAGCAAGTAAGTCCACAACATACTATCACAGTTTCTGTACTGYGCATTTTTTGTGAGGATGGACTGAATCCAGAAGCATCACAGAAAACCTCACAGGGTAGCAAACCTCTGCATGGACAGGAGTTTTGACCAACAGTCTACAATTATCCCATTCCTGTGGTCTATGGCCAGGAGCTGTGGTCTGTCATCACTGTGGTCAGGAACACAGAACAGGTTAAACAACCTGACTTGGGAATGATCAGCTGCTGAGAAAAATTGACATGACAATAGGCAGAACAAAAGATGGGGTAGGGAAAAAGAAATGTGTCTTGCTTTCCCAATCATATGCATAAAGTGCCTTTACATATAAGGAAAAATATGAGAGAAGATACAGTACCTGGGCAGCAGTGCAACCACTGGTGATATAATACAAGTGAAATAGAACATAGGGTCTCCCATCAGCCTTTCCATAGTCCAGTAGGGATTGGATGGAGGATGGCAGACTGGGCAGGAAGCATTGTAAACCAGAGCCACAAAGAAAAATAAAAYGATACTGAAGATGCAAGACGACCAGTGGAGGAAAGTCTAGAACAAGAACAACAACAAAAACAACAACAAAAGTACAATGATTCTTTATATTCTGAGAAATTTGTTGTGACTTAATTTAATTAAAACTCCTTAATTTCTGGAGGAAAATCCATGCACAGCAAAGAATTTAGTACCTTGTATACTTAAAAATTCTTATAATAAATACAACACTACAAGGCTGTTTGCAGATGTCATTTAAATTTTTTTTATGCTAGTTTAAAATGCTTGCTAAAAATAGAACGTGCTGAGGAAAAGAAGCAACTATCTTATGTTTTTGAAAGGTGGCAATAAGATAAGGTTTATGCATATGCCAATGAGTTTCTATGTAGGCTGTGGGTACCTTACCCAAGTTTTGGTTTCAATAGCCAAATGCAGGATGATGGTGAAAAGAGCTATTGTGGTGATGGGAGTTCCCCAGGAAAAGATGTCCACCTCTGAATCATAGTAAGTCTGTAAGAAAGGAGACAGAGTTTAGTCCAAGCTGTGTTGCCAGTTCTCCTCTAAATGCTTAAAGCAGAATGGCATAAACAAAACACTTACAAAATAAGGGATGAAGAAGCAAACCAGGCTCTGATACATAGCATCAATCATGTTCATCCAAAACATGTGTGGCTGATACTCCTGTGTCACAAAAAAAAAAAAAAAATTCTTAATTTTTGATTATAAAGATCATAACGAAGATGCCATTTGCCAGGATAGGTATTTTGAGGGCGGTTTTAAGGGCTCGGGCAAACAGCCTCATAACTTTGCTAATCAGTTAGGCTACCCTGGGGGATGAAGCATGAAGAATCTACCTGCAAGTCACTCTGTTCTGGGACTAAAGTCTTTTGCCCTTTTTTTGGTGGTTTTTTTTTTTTTTTTTTTTTTTTGTTTTTTTGTTTTTTTTTTTTTTTTTTTTTTTTTTTTTTTTTTTTTTTTTTTTTTTTTTTTTTTTTTAAACCTTGGCAGAGGGTGAGAGGGTGTAATTTGAATCTGATACTCAGGTCAGGAAACATTTATGAAGGTACCCTATTTCATGCACAACAATCAGACCACCAATTTCAGGAGGAGCACTGTGAAGTTTAAGAACACGAATAAATGGGTTCTACATCACATCTGCACAGGCACAGGGTATTTATGGGCAGAAGAGAAAACAAAATGCAGATGTACTTAGTGAACATTCACAACAATGGTTTTTACAGGCAATGAATGCGTGACGTATGTTATGTTGTAAGTATGTATATAAAACAYATATATACACACAGATATATAYAGATACATCTATATCTCTAAGTGTGTGCATAAAATTGCTTGCTAAAACCAATATTAAACTCACAATTTGGTTTAAAGAAATATGGTATTCCAGGGGTATAGATAGTCATAAAAGGGACCTAGATATAAGGAAAAATAGTTTATGAATGACAAAATGTTTACATAATTTAATGTTTATATAATGTCAATACAAAAGACCTCAGAAATCTCATCTAGTTTTGAAGCTGTTTTGAGCAGGGGTCTGGATCAGACGACCTCCAGAGCCATCTAAACTGTTCTATAATTCTATGGGCTCTGAATCTCTTTTTGAAAGAGATCCTACCTGAAACAGAATTTTAAAGTTTTAAAASTGCCTTTTTAGGCACTATGAAGAGAATACAATCTATAAATTAAAAAACACAAACTTAGAATGATATCTGGGCTTGTCTATGAGACATAACTGTAYTGTGAACCTGGGGTCTTCTCAGTTTTCCAGCTGAAGACACGCGGACATAACGTCCCAAAAAGCCCTAAGACATTACAAGATTTCGATCACACTAAAAATGTGTACGAAAGGAATGTATTAATATTACAAATCTTTCAAGTGTGATGCATTGAAACAGAAGAAATGTGGAAAACAGAAAAMAACAGATGAATAAGAGAGAATTTGGAYKAATGGATTAAAATAAGTTATACTARACTCTCATCTTTCCAGGAGAGTATCTAGCAATGCCATTAMATTTGTGGGGTACCAAACACAGGTGTACACTGGAGGCCAAAAACACTTACTGCGTCCTCTCACACAGCTTTGTAAGACACTTTTAAGAAGCCTTTTGCCTTCAAAGCAACATCTCCATATACATAGTTTTGCCAAGCAGCAAGATTTACCCACAGCACACTGCACCTGTAATTACCAGGAATGTTTTGGCTTAAATCCCTCCTGCAATTCTGTTTTTATTGTACAAGACAATAAAAAGACAAGGTGTTTTCAACAGGTATTTCAGGTGAATCTGTCATCTGTGACCACCTCCCTCAGAGACTAAGTTTATCGTGCTTACTGCCAAGGCCGTCTTTCTCTTGTCTTTGTAAAGGGTTGGGGTCTGAAGGTTTGAATAAGTACTGAGGTTATTCTGTGAAAGCCTGCACTAGCTACAAGGTGCAATCTGTTTTAATTTTATGGTTATTTGTGAGCCTGGACCATGAAGGCAGTGTTCAGTTTAGGCTGAATTAAATCATCCAGCCTTCTCTCCCGTCACATATTAAAAATATGGCTGGTTGGGGTTTAGTTTGTTTGTTTGTCTTTTGTTTAAGTGTGCTTTTGGCATTTTGACTCAGATAAGAAATACCGCAAAATTACAACACTTCTCAGAAGTCATATACCCTTTGGGAACAGGGTTGGTTTTCAGTTGAAACTAAAGATGTTCAGGAAAGAAATTACAGTAAGCAATAAGTTTTTACCTCCATATTCTGTCCGCTTTTATAAAGCTGAGGTACAGCAATTAACACTTCAGCTGGCACGTCCTTGTCCAGCACACCAGTAATCAGTTGTGGAAGAGAAGAGAAGAATAAATTAAAGAAGATCAGGTACCACTGATCAATCATTGATGAGCCAGAGAACCCRCAATAGAACTGGTACCAGAAGAGAAGGGCCACAAACATCTGAAACAGAACAAGCAGTGCTGTAAATATAACAAGATAAAGGGGATCATCATCCCACTATGTTCTCAAACCATGCTGATTCCAGCTCTGCAAAGACTTATCTATGAACGTTAAACATGTGAGCAATCCTTCTGAGGATGCCTGGTCTCATTTCCTGATGCAGGGAACACTTCGCTAAGTTGCAGACACTTGGCACAACTGCAAGCATTTATGCTGCTGGAACCTCAGATCTCGGGCATCACACAAAATTAACTTSCAGTTTTAGTGAAACACTGAGATGCAATCTAACAAACTGTAAAAAGCTCTCCCAAYCACCACTGAGCTCTCAGTATATGAGTACTGATGTCACAGCACTCACACGACAACTGTAAGAACAAGCATTTCCACAATAATACCCTCTGCTGGCTGGAGATGTTTTGGGACACTTTTCTGATCAACAACAGATAAATGCAGAGCTTTTCTGCAAGACCAACATGAGAYCAGCAGCTGTAAGGAAGGTGAAACTGTAAGGTCTACAAAAGTGGTCATAACTTTTCTATCTTCACRCTTTGAAATTGTTTCAAATTAGCAGTGCTGTAAATATTCTTCCATTTYTTTACTCTTCAGCTCTGTAAAGAAATCAGCTGCGTACACAGCTGCAGAAGGGTTGTTCATCTACTTGGGTTGGAGTCACCCAAAAAAGAACAAACCACACAATTTGTTTCTTCTACACTCTCTTCAGCATGGAGAATCCAGAGTGCTCAGGAAAGGTGCTGATTTCACCTGTTGATGAAAGATTTGAGGCCTAGCAAAAGATGGCCAGCTTCCTAGAGAAGGAAATACATTTGCAGGTTTGGTTCACCAAAAACTAAAATTTTTATTTTTCTTTGTAAAGTGACCAACCAGAAACCTATTGGAAACTGTTGAGGATTTTCTTCCTTTTAACCATGAAGACAGGAAATGACATGACCTCTTCTTTCACTTCCTCTTTTTTTTGTATTCTGTTCTTAAAAATCTTTCAGATAGAGAATGTTAATCTTCCATGAATTTTTGMTATTCAGAGGGAAAATACAGATCTGTTTTATCTGTGTGCCCAAATGTGGTTGAAAATTAAACACATGTGGAAAAGAAAGCTATGGCATGCTTAGTCAGTGAAAGCTGCTTTAAGACTGAGTTCCCAGAGCTTACCCTCTCCAATTGTCAGAGACATGGCAATTTCATTCCAAAATGGAACATACTTTGAAAATATTTCCTTTCCATACCCAACACCAAACAAAATTACTTGAGTTATTTCTCAAAAAGAAATTGCAACAAATACATGAATTTAGATACTTTTTTCTCACTGTTAAAAATAAACAAAATGCAGCAAATCATGGACCTACAGATTTTTCTCTCTAGAACCTTGCTAACTTGTCTTGGAAAGAGTTTGGCTCTTGCAAAAATCTTCCTACCACCTCTATTATGCATCTTAGAGTGTGTRCTGTTGAAGAAAGCTATACAAATAMATGAAATTTCAGTAYGCTTAAATCAGATTKTTTTTTGTCCTGAAATTTTATTTTGTATTARACAAGTTTTTAATTTTATTTCAAATGTTCTCTCTTGCCTCTGTGCACTACCCCTCTGAGAAATAGAAAACAAATTTACATGAAGATTTCAAATACAAAAGGTTTTTCTTCTTTTCCTGCCAGACGAGACTGTTTTATGAATGTGGTCCCAGACAGAATTTCTCAGTGAACGAAATACATGTCAAAAAACATTCAGCGCTGTCTTGCAGAGACAATGTATAAAGGGAAGAAGATATGCAGGCTTGAGCCTGTTTACATTAAATCCCTTTTCATCAACCTCAGATATTTTCAGTCATGCTWTGTTTTAGTGTATATTTTACTGGTACTTTTATCACCTCCACCAAGTCAAACATCTTATTGGATAAGTAATTTCAGAGTCCAAATGGCTTTTGCAGCAATGTGGAGTTTAAATTGTAAATTAAGACAGGTTCTAGTGGAGAATGGAAAATTTTATAGTACGAGCAAATGCGGAAAATAACCACTTGAAGAAACAGAAAGCTTGCAGAACATTTGCAGTGTAGCTATCTTGACTCTCTGTGGAGAATCACCCAGAACTGTCTCCKCGCAGAAGGTTCAGGTACTCCCATCTTCCCATTTTTAACAACCTTTCCTTAAGGGCAGGCACTGTCAGAYATATTCATGTTTACATGATGGATATCCAACTACAGTTTTAAGAGTCAGAAGCAACAAGTATTTCTCAGGAAGCTCTGAAGGCTGCCAAAACACAGCCAACACAAAGAGACTTCTTCAGTTGTTTTCTAATCTTGAGGCAGCAGCTTCAGAAAATCCTACTAAAAATGGCATGAGAAATAATACTTGTAATCAAGGGCAGTTGAACCAAAGAAAATGGAAGATTTTAACCAAGCTGGTGATTGCTGCAGTGTCTTATATGCATTACTTCAGTGGGTTTTTTTTAAATTTTAATGTAAGATGGCTACAGCTCTTGGAAGTTCGAATTCGATACTGTTAATGGGTATCTTGGAAACATTCAGCACTGGGGGTGGGAGTACAGATGTTCAGCATCATTCAGGATCAAGCCTTAAAACTGATGCATTTGAAGACCAGCACATACTTCACTGCTGTACTTCAAGAGGTGGCTCTCCACTTACTGCAGCTAAAGAGGTCTCCACTTCAACCTGCTTGCTATTTCYTACTCAAGCAGCAGCTCAGACCACAAATCCCTTCTTCCTTCTGTGTCTGAAAGGGCACTTGTATGCAGCTCTTGCTCTGATGACAAGAGGTAGGTTAACATGCTTGTTTTAAMACAAAGATGCTTCAATAWTCCTTTAGAACCTTTTGCTATTCATGTGATGTTCAAAATTTTGAGCAAATGRTAGTTTTCTTCCAATAAAAATTGARAATTAGATTAAAACTGRAAATTAGTYGGAACGCAASTTTTACTGAAAGTGAAAACTGAAAGCTACTTTTTTTCTGGTACTGAGGATAAAATCCACTCTCCTGCACGCAGTTCATACATTGCCCTCTGGAGCAAACAGAGGTATGAGAGCTCTAGCTCTCCTCTTTTTCTTGCTTCTTATATGCCTTGCTCCCAAGATGATTTGTAGCTGTTGTAAGTGAGCAAATCTATGCATTTGCCAGTGACTCCCACCCAGCTGGTGGTATTCTTSGTTGCCTTGTTAGGCTGTTTTCAATCAATCATCTTTGTACTCCAAGATCAATGCAAAGAGCCTCTGCTGAGGCCAAGGAGTTGAGTTGCTGCTGGCTCAATGCCCAGTACTGGATTGAGTCCTGTTTCATACACCAGGGAGGAAACACAGACYCGTCGTCTGCTCTTTACCACCGTGTACTTCCTTTCTGATGAACTCCTTTGGTTAGTTGGGAGTAAGATAAATAAAAAAAAGAAACCTTCCCAGTCTCTGGAGCTGAGACATAGAGAAGACTCAAATTATCTCAAGTCACAAGGAAATATGTACAGTGATTCATAAACAATTATGAGATGCAGTCAGGAAAACACACTCAACTGCTACTTGGGACCAATGCTGGATAGCTTTGGCATTGAAGAGTCCTGTATCCAGGCAGCTGAATTCTTCTGCAAAACTGCTCTATAAAGAAACTTTTCTTCAGCAGTGCTTGTTATTTGTGTTACCTAATTTGCACATTCAGCAGCACACTGTAGCTGTTATGGAGTGAGTCCCGTATTCCTGCAAATGGCAGCCAGCTGTCTTTCAGCTCTGCAAATTTCTTTGCAGCTTATTTATAAACCATTTGAAGGCTGACCTAATGCTCACTTAGCACAAAATAAACCCTGGAAACATGTGGTGCCATAAAGCTGCCAAGTCAAACACTTACTGCATTTTTGTAGAAGAAATACAGCACCATGTTGGCGAGTCGAGAATAACACCAGTGGCCATGAACAAGCAAAAGCTTCTCCAAGTGCCTGAACCTTGGGATTGCAAAGTCGCTTGCCATCACCGCCTTTAAGAAAAYAAAAGTTAAGAATCATTATTGTAAAGCACCACTTTCAACACTAACAATGAATCTAGTCATCTTCTCCACTCCTACAATCAGTGGAAGTTGTACATGTGAAGAATGAAATTCATGAGAGTGCTTATGAAATGCAGCCATTGCTGCATGCATTTGTAATACTCATGWGCAAACCCTACAGCTTGGCAGGACATGCAAGGCAACCTGGTCCTCACCCAGAGGAGATTACAGCCTACATTCCAGATGGTGACGAGCAACAACAAAAAGCAAGAGGTGGAAGAATAGCTGGCAATTGCAACTGCACGAACATGAAGGCTCAGGGTCCATATGTGAAGAAAYTGGTGGCTGTAACATCTTTCTCTGTAAAAACTACTGAGTAGTTCCAGGGCAAAATGAATTTCCAGAGAATAAGTTAAGAAAATCACAGTTAAGTGGTTTCATCATAAGTATTTGACTTTAAAAGACAAAACAATAAAAGTATTTGTTTAATTACATTTGCAGTCCTGATTTATAGAGTTTACTTGGATGTTCGGAGACTCAGTATTTTGAGAGATTTTTAAAATCAMACATTTTCTGTAACTGTGTATGATAAAAAATCACACTAGATGAGACTCCTCTGGGACTGTGCAGACTGTCAGATGACATTGACAAAATGAATCACACAGTTTCTCTCTAATTCTGACTAAATTTCAAGACACTGTACATGTAGATGAGACCTCCTTGTGCTATCATGGTTGTTTCATGATGTTCCTTATCCCTAGGATCACACTAAGATTTCACTTAATATTATTTTACATTTAATTTTCTATTTTCGTATCACACTTCTTCTCACAATTTCATTCACCTAAAACAGGAGGAAAAGTGAAAACCTCCAAGGAGCCCTATCTTCCTTACACTCTGCTAAATATATTTTGGCTGTATTTTTAAATAAGAGATGTCTTTCCTTTTAAGTTTTCCTAATTCACTTTCTAAAAGGGCTCAGTTTTCCAGGTATGTGGTAGTAGAAGCTATTAAAATAAACTTTAAAACAGTATGCAAGAGAAGGTGCAAAAATGTATTGCAATTTAAGTAGTAGATATATATAAGGGCTGAAACAATTTTTAATAAGTTGACACATGCTAAGATTTCTCAGGTACTGAGACACACTTGTTGTAACCTTCCTGCACAGAAGTCTGATTTGTCTGCAGACATAAAGCTATCTTGCAGTTTGAGGAGAACAGAGCTATGCTATGTCTGCTTCCTTGTCCTCCACCCCATCTCAGCCTATTCAAATGTCAAAACAAAACTGTTAGCTTCATTTGTGCTTCTAACGTAGTACCTCACAGCACACTGTGGTGTCACAATTCTTTTCCTTTTTTTTAATCCCATTTTTATTATGGTGAGGAATACAGAGAAAAGGATGGTGTTATTCAATTACATTTGCATGTTTACTTAGTCGTAAAATACCCCCTTGAATTTCACGTTTCATTTTTCTTCCAGTTCCACATGCTTCCACAGAATGTGGAAAGAAAATAAATCAGACAGTATTGCTGTCTTAGACATGTAAATGCTCAACGCTTTCTGAATACCTGCGTGTGTAGGATTCTGACAGTTGTTTATAGTAAAGAGGTCTGTGTGGTTCCTTAGGATTTGCAGTAAGAGAAGGGATCTATAAACATTTTCCACTCTATTAAACTTTCATTTAGAAAAAAAMCAGGTGGTTTAATGAGTTAATGAGAAAATAGCTTTCAGACCTGAATACACTGCAAAAGCCAGGGGGATTTGAGGACTGGTTATGTTAAGTGTATGAGTTCAACTGAAAGTGGCATAAAGAGGTGAGGAGTMAAAAAAAATGCTATGAGCACTATATGTCTGCATTAGGAAAAAGAAGTGATCTGAATGAATATTTAGATGATGAGAGCTTATTGGTAAGTTCATAAGAGGCGATGAGACCCCAGGAGTTTGCAGCAGACTTTTCTGAATTGAGAGGTTTGGAGGGGAGTCCACAATACYGGCCTTCTCTGAGCTCTCTGGAGCTTCGACTGCCTGCAGAGTGATACTGCAAAAGCTACGCAGAGCTCTTGGAAACTGATGGAGGCTGGGGAACAACAAAAACTCTTGGCATCAACTTAGTTCAGGAATTCCTYTTCTCCTGATCTCTACAGCCACCACCAACGGCAGACTGACAGGGTCAATGGCGGGGATGCCAATGAGCATCTAAAATTTTTTACAGAARCTTTTTTTGAGTCTAATTTACAGCTGCTAACATATTCAGAGAATCATTCTTCATGGACTTCAGCCCTGAAAACTGTCTATTTGAAGAGCACTGACTGGCCTTCCATTGGCCCTGGAGGTTACTGGGACTGAACCCCCTGGATAATTACGAGGAGAACAAGTGGAATAGTTCTGCTGGGTCAGGCTGAACCCTGTTTTTGGTATCTAGCCTCCAAAAATTGCTAAGAGAGGATCTGAGGATTCATACACATTGAAAAGTGTATGATAAATAAGAAAATATCTACTGACATTTCTCCAGTGAGCTGTCCTACCTTCTGCTGATCTGTAGTCAGAAAATGCATAAAGCTGACACCCAAGTTCATAGCTCACTTAAATTTTTGTTTCACAAGTTTGCGTGTTGACCCAAATAAATGATAGCATTCATGAAATCCCATGAAATAAAACTCTACAGTCAATTTGTGCACTGTGTGAAGGAGGCCTCTCTTCCCTTTTGAGTAAAACATCCAGCCAATGTTGCAAAAAATACAATTTGGGTCAGAGAACCACCCACTGGTAACTAAGTTAAGGAGCATGCTCATCTGCTCAGGTCCTCAGGATGAAAACACTTCCCACTTTCACTGTAGAGSTATTTGACATATACTCAGCTACTCTGTTTTCTCATGCAATCAAGCTGCCCAAATACAAGGCAGGTTGTGGAAATGAGCTTCCTTCCTCAATTGCTGTGTCTTACTGCCACGTCTGGTCCTAGCACTGCAACTGAACTGCACTGGCTGTAGAAGAAGCTGAGATAATACAAACATCCCATCCAATACACATCCCCTCTTCTGGGGATGAGAGAAGTGCCTCTTACACAGTGGTAAATGCAGTAATCATGGGCAGAACACATCCAGAAGACAAGGCAAGTGCCCTCATCCTGCTATTCCGTGTGACTGGAAAAGTGGCCAAACCCAAGACTTGCTGTAAGGTGTAAGGAGCAGTGGTTTTGGAAASGGCTGCAATTTCTACTTTCTTTACTGTTTTGCTGTCTGAATGAGCTGAGTGAGTGAGGTGTGTGGGTGGCTGGGCTAAGGGTCACCACCACACYATGCAAATAAGCTGCATCAGTTGTACTGACTTGTGCAGCCACTCCATAGAAGTATACCCAACCAATAAAGGGGAGAATAAAACCCAGAATAAGATAAATCTTTATTCCCTAAATAATGCATWGCTGAGCATTTTTTTTCTCCTTCAAACAAGTATTTAACTAATTATTTCTTTAATCATATTGCTTAGACAGATTTGGTAAGTCCAATTTTCTGGGAAGGTAGTGTGCATGTAAACTTGTCACAGACCTGAGAACAAGCATGAGCTCAAACTGAAGCTGAAAGCACCCTTATAACACACAACTGGCACACCTCAGCACAAGTTGCTGCTTTTCYTTTATTTGTGCTGACTATCCAGAGGCAATCTGAACAATCTGACCTACAGCAGGTGGCTGTTTCACCTCCTCATGGGAGTGCTTTTCACTGGATGAGCAAAATTACCTGCATGCCTTCTTGACCAGAGATCCCCACACCAACATCTGCCACTTGGATCATGCTGACATCATTAGCACCATCACCTAAAGATGACAAAATACAGTTTTGTTGTCACTAGTAGACCAAAAACTATTAGCAGCAACAAAGCAAAGGAAAAACAGTTGTTATTAAGTGTTTGTCGAGTATAGTAAGAGAGACATGAACTAAGTGTTGGTTGGATATAAGGGAGATGTGTGGTAGAAAAGGATATATCTTTAGAATATAAGGTTCAAAATTTGCAAAGTTTCCAAGACATTCCGATCTTTGCAGACCTTTTTATCACAGGAAAGTAAMAATAAAAAAAAATCTGTCTCTTTTTAGTAATACCTAAAATTCAGGTGTCAGCCTGAACTGCACAAACAGTAACACTGTGGAAGGCTAAGAATGATCTTCCCAATATTTCTGCTTACTGATTAGCAGTCTGCCTGCAATCAGGTAGGACTAAGAATGTGTAAGGAGGCCAAAAGCCAATGAGAATGTCTAGACTGTAAAAATACAAAAAAAAAGTTTAAAAGTAAATGAATTAATGAAAAAGTCAAGTGAATAGGGTTAACCAGTCCAAGATCTTTAACACACCCAGTGCTGGTAGATTTAATTGGAGGGGTTGCAGAGCCACCAACTGCTACTCTGCTTCCAATTGTGGTATCACAAGTGTACCTTAGACAGGATACCAGAATGAGACATGGATCTGCTTCTTAACTTCCTAAATTTACAGCCAGTATGCTAGTGGAAAACAAAATCATGACTTATCACAAGCCACTCAGTTTTAGATTTCAGTGGATGAGGTGGACACCACATCTCACCAGATTCCCTGCTGTTGGCATGAATGAGTGGTACCAGCTCACCAGAAAAAACTGATGATTTTGTGACTGTGTGACACAACCCCAAATTAGCTCACGTTGGTTAAAAGGGAGGGTGCATACAGCTAGGTTTTGAGCCAGAGCAGGAGCTTGAACTCAACTTACAGGCTCAAGGTGCTCAGAAAGAATGAAAATACAAGCTGCCCAGTCTCYACTAGTGTTTTTAAGCATTCTGGATAACTCAAGTTAAAGAGCCAGACCTTTTTTTTTACAACATATGCAAATGATCAGGTCCACAGTCAGTTAGCCAAAGATATAAATTCAGTAGGAGGGAGCATATTTGAGCTAGATATAATATATTGAGAGCATGAAGATTATGATAATGAGCACATATTTGGTGATGTCGATGTCACACAAGTCTGGCAATTAYTATATGTACTTAGGGTTTCTCATGGACAGGTCCCACCCACATGTGTTCCAGCTATAATTAACCAATACAGGTAGACATTTGTGAAAGTATACGCTGAAATCATATCATCTAATGAAACATGAACTCAAACTTGAGATAGGGAAAGAAGAGCTGGTTGAATTGTATAAAATCATAGCAACATGAAAGATCCTGTCAAATTTAAGACASACTGACTGCCAAAGCCTCCCCTGTGCCAACTGAGTGATTAGGTGGGAAGAAGTGCAAGTGCTGGCATGATGCCAGTTGTAAATCCACTCTATAATAACAAAGCCAAGTCATACTCTGTGCAGTATGGCTGACTTGTGATAATAAACACACAACCTTGAGTTTAAGCATGATCAGGTAAAACACCACTCAGCACAAATTTTTTAGGTGTAATACAGTGATTGCAAAATGATGTTTTGTGCAGCATCAGATAACCCAGCTCTTCACAGCTGTGTTCAGACATGTCATAATGTCTTAGAATAGCTGGGTCCTGATTACCTAACTTCTGTAGGAAGAAATCCCAAATGCTACTCCAGAGTTCTATCCTGGGTTTGAGTAAATACATTAGAATAAATATATTAGAATTGTCCAACAAGTTTTCAGACAAAACTGGAAGGCTGTTTCAGTTGTGAGGCAGCTGCGAGGGTCCGTCCTACTGAAGTCAAAAAAATCAAAATTTTCAAGACAGAGTACATCAAGGCAGGCTAGTTTAAACTGAGGTATTTACCTATTGCCAAGGTCATTGCTTTGAGTTTGTCTCTGACTAGTTTCACTACCATGCTCTTTTGAAGTGGGGTTGAGCGACAACACAGTACCGAACGGCATCGCTTGGCCAGTGCAAGAAATTTATCTTCTAGCGTAGGTTCCAAGGCATAAGCTAGAGTCCTTCCATCAATCACTAGGCCCAAGCTGGAAAGCACAGAGGAAGGGGGTGGATAGAAAGGGGTGAACCCAACAGTCATGTTTCCAGTAGCTTCGTCTATTGTGTTGTTTGAAAATTTAGACTCTACGCATTGCAGACACTGCTCCAGCAAGACAGCACATGTCTCCTGAAAAAAAATTCAAAATAAAAATGCTTGAGAGAAAAGAACATGTATTCAAAGTCTTCTGTTTTCTGTATKTTTAGCCATAACTAATATAGGGAATGTATTATTTGCTATGCTGGTAAAGTTTTAATTTCTAATAATATTCTTTTCTACTTGTTCTGAACACACTTCATTCTTGCAGGTGAATTCGAAGGTATGACAACAATAAAAGACTAGAAAGGTTTAAAATATAATTCTTCTTTAACATGCAGTTTTGTATGCTTAATTAATTTCTTTTAGCTCCTTCTCAGAATAACAGTGCTGGGAAATGATATATAATTGGTACCATGTTAAGTATGGTGATGAACACCATTATGGTGATGAACACCATGTATACGCCCACAACTCAGATCAAAGAATTATGTATTGTTAAAGGCCAATTAAAGGTTATTTAAGCTGAAAWCTCTCTCCTAGCCATACTCAGATAGAAAATGTTATTGAGAATATAAGGACATTTAAAAGAAATGCTATTGGTCTTACAGCAAAGTATGACTAAAAAGAAAAGCCATGGAAAATCAATTTACCAGTTCAGTTGATGCACCCAAGAATGGAAAATGCTGTTATCTTTTCYTCCTTTTAGAAAGAAGTTGGAGCTGAATACTGATGGCCTACCTCTACTCAGCTGCTCTGAAGTCCAATTTTATCACCCCATAAAAGGACTACAGCACTATCAGTCTGGTTCCTTGTATGTTAGACCGTATCAGTAAACTCTCAGTGACTGCTTGCAACAAGCTGAGCACAGGAAAGATCAGTAATTCAGAAGGATTAGAAAAAGTCTGTTAGGAAGCAAAGTATTACGGTAGAAGTGGTTTTCTGCCTCTCAGTGTTAGCATCRAAATTTAAGTATTGCTTCTATCTCCAGAGAAAAAGCCACCTGAGAAAACACGAATRACTGTGTTATCTGAAAACTACATTTCAGTGGCATAAAATAAAAYACAAATGCTCAATGGGTTATCTATCGCTTTCTTTCTCAACACGTATTTAATAACAGGTTGCCTTTTAGACCCATCAGTGCCAATAAAAAGAAATAGGGATGTTTGGAGAATGCGTACTGAAGAATGTAATTTATGCAGCTATGGCATATTTTCATTCATGGTGGAGTTCACTATACACAGTTACATGTTTTCAGTAAATTTATGACACATGAGACTACGGTTTAGAAGCATGATTTACTGAGAAGTATTCAAAGACATGTCCTACCTGAAAATTGCAGACGAAGCAGGGAAAGAAGAAAAAAAAAGAGGAAAAGGAAAAAAGCCATCAAACTTTTAATTATCCAAGTTGAAATCAAAGCAAAACTAGTTCACTAGTAAACTTGTATATTGGATCTGCTTACTGGTGACTCAGCATTCAAAGTGATGATTTCTTCATCATGATCTAGTAGCTTGCAGGCATATGCAATATTAACAGCTGTTTCTTGCTTGTCTCCAGTAAGAACCCAAATCTGCAGCCCAGCTTTGCGCAAGCTTGCAATGGTTTCTGGGACACCATCCTGCAAACGGTCCTCTATGCCAGTAGCACCTAAGCACATTAAAAAAACAAAATATTCCATATTAAATGAACACTTAGGGTTCCCCAGAAATTTTAAGCTTAGATTTAAAAAAAACCAACAAAACAACCAGCAGTCACTTTTACTGGGAAACAGCTTAACTACCAATAGTTGCAAGATTTTGGCAGCTTTTTGGGGGTATAGAGGAGGAAGAGAGGAAAGTAGCTRTGGCAAACTTTTGCATCAACAATCAACAAATCCAGAATTCAGAATTTCAAAAGCAACCAGATGCCACTCCTAGAGTATCACAAGGCTTATTGTCTCTATGCTCTGTATCTACAACACTTGTGTAGATACACACATGTTGTATCTACAACATGTTGGTAGAGAAGGTTTTGGTTCTTGGAGGTAGGTTCAATTCCTAAGGGACTTAACTGCCTTTTCTCAATGGAAGAGAGTGGGTTACTAGAAATTTCCCTTTTGAAGTGGAATAACAGCAGGACTGCAGCTTGGCAACAGCAGATTAGGCTGCAGACATAAACCTTTTTGTGCCTTGTTGCTGCTCTTTGCTCTTGCAGAAAGACACTGGTGGCTAAATGAGATATAGCAGAGAGTAAATCATAAATCTGTTGGCCATGGTGTGAGAGTAAAATGTTTTTTCATGATTTCAATTCATCTTTCTACCTGTKTATAAGAGACTGGGTATCTCTTTTATGCTTACATAAATCAGTTGACAGAGACAAAATTTTCATATATATGAAAAGTGGCAAAAAGCCACTCAGGACCCAAACTCAATGTTACAACTGGTACGTCAGTGCTTCACTGAGTCTCACAGAGACTTCRATGTGAGGAAATGCAAGCCCTGCTACTTGTAAATGTGGAAGTGACAGATATGCAAGTGACCTGGAACAACAGGAAAAACAAAATAAACTTTTCTTGGCTAATTATTACTCTTATGGTTGTTCCTTGAACAAAACCCAATTAAGAATAGAAATCCACTTAAGTCTGAGCACCAGTCATTTATGGGATAACACAATCTTAGGGCCATGTTGGAAAAAACCTATTGCTATCCAAACAAAGAAAATATATTTCAGACTAAATTTTTATTCCCACGACCTAATGATGAATGATCATTGCGAGCTACAAACTCACAGTGTGAGTTTCTTGGGGACTGAGCCATTAGTTTAGTACTGGCTAGAGCTCACTTATTTGTCTAGCAGCTCAATTTCACTTTTTTTTTCTTYTATTTTTTTCACCTCAGAGTGCAGCCAGGGCCAACAGGTACACCCATGGTGGGCTCTTAATTGCTCTGCTCTGAATTAGGCAACTCATGCCTTCCTTTAAATCAGGGGTAAGAGACAGACACTTGAAGGGCATGATTCATCTAATCCTAAAGGGGATATCTAAGTCAGACCAAATGCACTGCACTTTTTTGTCTCTCCATTGGTTGTATGTTGAGCCTTAGAGATGTGCAGTACATACATTAAAAACTGGGTGAGGTGGATATGTCTCCTAGAGAAAGGCATGCTGGCAATTAGGGAAGGTTGTTTTCTCTGWCAGGGTTATGGCTCTCCCAGTTTCTTTGCCAGAGAAAACAGTTGGATGCATGCAGTAATAGTGTATTTACACACATTTTAGAATCTCAGTGCTTTCAACATCTCAACTCACAAGAGTATGACTTAGCTCTTACAATATTTTTACAGATACTGATTTTAACTGCAAACCCTTGCCACAGAGTACACAGGCCCCGAGTGCATGTGCTCAACCTGATGTATATGCAAGTTGATGTGTCTCACAAATGCAGTTTATGAGCTTTTTTATGCATGTYTCTGGTGCCCCTGGAGTCATGGAAGTCTCTGACATGTTGAAGCTGCACTGAGCTAATGAAATTCTGTAGACAGCATGGGCCAAGTTCTTCTCTTGTTTAGAGCAGCAGTTCCCATTTATGATATTGTGTCAAATTCATCCCTGGTATTACTCCACTCATTTCACTGGTGATAAAACGATGGCAGGAGCAAGGAAAACAGGGTATGTCTTTTATGTTAAGTATGTCCCATTCCTTTGTGGTGCTGCACATGACAGCCATGATAAACTCCCACGGAAGCCAATTTCTGTGCTGTCAGAAACAATTTAAGGGAAAGAATGGATTTCGTAGCCAAGCCTTCAGAATTTTTATCACATTTTAATTTCATGTCCGGCTCTCATTTCATTACCTAGCAGATGCAGATTCTTCTCTATCCGCAGTGCTGACTGAAACAGAAGCTCTTCACGATTTTCAATAGAGGATTCTGCTTCTAAATGAGTTTTTAACCAACAGCCATACTCTTCCTTGCTGAGAACCTATTACAAAGAGTATGTGAGGGCACAGTCAATATAATGCAAAGGCATTCCTACTTTACTGAATAAAATGAAAAAGAAGTTATGAATCAAGAACAATATAATAACAAATACCTTCAGTAATCTTTGTCAAGACTCTCCCTAAAAGCAAACTAAAAGCCTGCATTTACTTACTCTTTTTGCAATACAGAGGGTCCGCAGCCCATCTACAGCATAAAGATTAAGGTAATTCTGGGTTTTGCTTCGGATTTTTTTTTGATGTTTGCCCCGAGGGTCATCTAGGTAAGAATAAAAAATAAATTACTCATTGAAAAATAACAGCAGCTGAATGGCCTCAGAGAATAAAAACTTGTATACAGTACTCACTGTACCAGCACTTTATACTGATACTTTCAAATAGCTGTTGATGTTTCCTGGGAAACTCAAGTAAAGCACTCCATTAAAAAAAAAAAAAAAAAGATCTTTTTATTCTCTTTTATCTCTTTCCTCTTCAAAAAAGTCACTGTGAATGTATGTGAGAAAGACCTTTTTCTTTATTCCGTAAGTATTTCTTTCGCCTGAATATTTTAAGAAAACATTATAATCTTCACAGCAAACAATACAGGGGAAATAGAAATATGATTTCAAATACACTACGAGCAAATGCTTTTCCGCTACTCCAGTTCATCCGTGTGCAGAAAAACTTAAAAATAGCACTTGGTTTTCCATCAAGGCTAACATCTTGAAAGAAGTGGAAACAGTGCTCTGTTTTGTTTATCTGAGTGCATGAAGGTCCTCTTGTCTGTTAGTGCTGTACTGATTCTTCCTATCAGCCTGAATCAATGCAAGAAGTTCCGGGTAGGACTGTGATTTCATTAGAGRAGAATCTGCATTTGCAGACCTCACAGCTAGTTTCTACCTTGGATGTATCAACAAAGCTTTCACATAACTTTAACCTTCACTTAAAGATGCATTTAAAAATGAGGACCGAGCATCTGTTTATTTTCTCTTTTAGTTGCGACTGGTACAATGTGCTCACTCTGTGATCAATGTAGAGTAATAAATATAATGGCAGCACATTTTGYTCCATCTTATTACACGAAATGGTGTCTCCAAAAATTAAAAACAAGTTATAATGAATCTTTTTCATCATCTAGGATCAAGACAAATTCATTAAATAAATACTGTAGTAGTAATCTTAAATAATATGAATTGCAAGGTTAGTACTAAAGTAAAAGCTGGTAAATTTTCAGATTGGAAAATTTTCAGATTTTGAGTGAGAATGACCGGTACCTTCTGGCAGGCTCTCCTATTCCCTGAAGTGATACACTTTATTTTACTGAAGTCTAAATATTTTGGGGGGAAGGGGGGGGGGGTGTAGAATCATTTCAGGGTATAATTCTGTAACTGGAGCTGTTTCTAAATGCAATATTTGTGTTACTGRTACTATACTCAGCAACCACACACACTCAAGTGACTGCTCCTCACCGGAAGTCTGAGAACCTCAAGAGACCTACTACGTACTCAGTATGTAGAACCTCAAGAGATCTACTACGTACTCAGAATGTGATCACCTCTCCCACTGAGAGCCTATGGACACCATACTGTTATATTAAACACTGAGTATGGGTATATAAATTAGATGTCATAAACATCTTGCTGTTTATACTTTTTGGTGCCCATTTACCCAGTGTGCATTCAYAGTGAATTTGATCTTGCTATATGCTGACTGCATACATACATCTGTCTGTCTATAAAGTTACACAGCATTCAGCACTTTCATTTTACGGAGCAGCAGAGTGCGTAATTGGGCATTCAGATGCTCCAGCACAAACATGTACATGTATTGATTTTGTAGAAATAAGGGAACTGTGAGTTTGGAAYCTCAGTATTCTGGGTTTTGTTGTTTTGATCTCAACCATGTATCAGAACATTTTACTCCTGTACAGTTATTTTCCCATCTTTAAAGACTTTTGTGTCCTCTCTAGGTCTGCAAAGCTGGGAGTATATATACTCAGTTGTTCTTAAGGGAATCCGTGAAGATTGTGTATTTTCTCCGTAAGTTCGTTTCAGTTCCATCTCTGATTAAAGTCATGTGGTAAATACTGGTAGGAGTATTCTCACTGGCCAGTCCACCTGCCTATTAGTACTACCTATGCTATCACAATTGATTGTCTAAAAGGGACAGTATAGATAGATTATTCCACAAGGACATCCCTACAAGTATTATTTGCAATTGGAAAGCCCTTTCTTACACTACCTATGGAAATAGGCCTATAAGGAACCAGCAGCCTAACACAGTTTCATTTAGCTACTTTTCTATTAGTGCATTATAACATTTTTGGCACATGTGACTCTGCTGTGCAATGTAAGTTGGTTTTTATTTTTCCCTGAGAGAAGTACAGCAGCAAACCTTCGAGGCTTCTTCTACTAGTGAGTCATCTTTTTTAACTTCAGAACAATAAAGCAGGCAGGCATTCTTCCTAATTTATTGTGATAYATTAGCATTCTAGAGAAAAATGCCATATTTTTTGCATATCCCACATGAAATTGTCTTATGGGAGTGGCTATTTCAGTTGCTCACTAACTCCAAATGATGCAAACTTCAATAGGTGCTTAAACACATCAAAAGTTGTTTCTATCCCTTYAAGGTTAAGTGGTGTTAATTACTTCACTTCAGAGCTGTCTGGATAGCATGGGTGCTAATGCAGTGACTGCAATGTCAAATGCTCATATCTTCCATGAACAAATCGATTCTCTACAAGCACAGATGTATATACTGTTTTCTGTGTGAACTCTCAGTTCCAGCATCTCCCTCTCCCACCAGCATACCATGGTGTTATAGATGTTCATGTGCCTCATCAGTCSTAGCCTGAGATTTATCTTGTGCTCAAAAATTAGAAGGGGGTAAGGAATGTCTTGCAGACAAAAACYAGTTGTGAAAGTTCCTTTTAGGTGGGATGCAGTGTCTGTGCTGGGCTGTGTGACCACATGCACAGTGTCAGCGAAAAAAAAAGGAAAGAAGTCTCCCCCAGAAGAATGATAAAGAGCTAGTGGCCTTCTTAATTTCCTTCCATAATCTTGAGCTGCAGAAAGCCAGCAGAGTCGTTRTTTTCTCAATGACTTATGTTCACAGTTCCTCTGTGAGCTGGTATTGACTCAAACAGTAATTTTCTTATTTATGAATATGGTGACTGTGGAGATAAAGTAAAAGTATACACTCTTGGGAATAATTTCAAGGCTTTTGGAAATATCTGTTTGCTATCAGAATACATCAGGTTCCACAGTCTTAACTAGACATACAGGYAGAGCAAATGGAGTAAATTCAAAATCTTTTTTAAGTTTTGAAGCTCATGATGATTTATACTTTTTTACAAGACACAAGGAAGCTAAAACATAATACTTCTGCTTTTGATTTTAGGCTGTTKGTCATGTCACATTATAAAATACCCTTCCTCCTAAACAGGAATCTTTGTTTCTGACAGGACCCAGTCATGCCATGYGGTGCTTGAGCTGGGAGATTACAGACATGGTGTTGCCTTGGTCCTTCGGTCTAAGGGCACAAGTCTCAAGACAYACTCGTGACTGGTGTATAGTTCATATGTCCTTGAAGCACTAAGAGAGTAAAGACCAAGCTATGGGATTAGTTGTCATGTCCATTCACTTTTTAGTAATTTCCTTSAAATGATAAATGACTGAATTCTTGTAGCGTTACAGCTCTTCTCACACTCACATTCCACTGTCACTGATGAACTGGATGACACCAACAACAGATCCCACAATACAGATAACAGCCACAGCATCAATCTTTTGAGGTTCCCTTTACACCCATTGACACTAGGATACTGCAGGCAGAAACAGCAAATTCAGTTCCAGGAGTGAGAGATACTCAAGAGAAATGTCAAATGTTTTTCAGACAGATCTGCTGAAACATACAGAATTACTGAAGCCAGTGGGGACTTAAGAGGACTAGAAAACAAGGGGAACTGCTTATGGTGTTCTAGTGGCTGCACTTTACAYTGCTTGCAAAAACAAAGCACACCAAAGCTCATAGTTCAATCTGGGCTTAAAAAACCCAAACCAAAACAAAAAAAAACCTCCTGCACAATTTCAGAACCACTTTCAATTTGCTTGCCTGTAATGATGGTGAAATCTGTATTTGTCTGGCTACAGACATTCCTCATTCCCACRCTGACCTTCAGGAACCCTGCTCCTTCTTCTCTGGCATACAGCACCTTTGATAATGTGGCAATTTTTTTATTTTCTAACTGGCCTTATTGTTTTAACTAGGTGGGTCCTAGACATGAAATTTCCCTCAAAATTCCTTGAGCCATTCAGTCTCCTGTGAGTGGACATTGCAGCTTCAAACAAAGTCTGTTATATCGTGGCAAAATATTTAAGACTCACCATAAAGTATTTTTTTTTCTTTTCTAAATGCTTAGTTCTCATTCTGAGAACTCATTTCCAACCATTATTTTCTAGGCATTAGAAATTTTCATGCTACAAATTCTCTATTAGTATAGTTTGGAAGGAAAGAAGTTTCCATAGATGCTCTATGTGCCTTCTGTGATATCAGATCTTTGCTAGAAAATTATTCATGAATACTCTGCTGTTAGTTAAGGACAAGTTGTTCTTAATTTTTTTGGCTCAGATTTGATTTATATGGCCGTAACCAGAAAACTAATGCCAACATTTTTCTGTATTTCATTAAACTAAAATTACACAGTATAAGCTTTTCAGAATTGTTTACTCCAGCTAATGTCAAAGTAACCACAAAGTCAATGCATGAGTGAAACATGGGAAGTACCTCTAGCACTTTGGGGCTCTATCCATTCATATCAGGGTAACCTTTAAACAGTGGATGAAATTCAGTGTTGAAAACACAGTAAATTAGATGCAAACTCATTAATGCAAACTGAAACCTATGTGTTTCCTCTAACTTATGAAAGCCTACAGAGTTCTTCTTGAAATCAAATGATTACAATTAGCTATTTAAAGTTGTCCCTGTTTCCTAGGACATCTGGGTGCTGGAGAATTCTCCAAGCTTTAGGGAAATTCCATGCTCACAGTGAAATGTCTATTGACTGCTAGTCAACTATGCACTTGAAGCCAAGATTTCTTTTCTGAACAGCATCTCTCCATCTTTTGCCACAACTTTTCTGTTTTGATGGCTAATTGATTCACATTGCCCTTTAGCATCGTAGTCAAACCTGAATAAATGTGAAAATTAATGCAAGGTATTGYAGTAAAAGGACTCACAAATGAAACAGAGGGAAGCAGCAGTAAGAAGTATTTCAGTTTCATATAAAATACACACCTGTCCAAGCACTTCCAGGGCAGGCTTTTCTAAAGAAATGTAAATTGCTTTTGTAGAGTTGCAAGAAATACCTTTAAAATAAAGTTTGCTAGTAGAACATCTTTTACAGAAATTGTCTTCACTCTTTCTTGTGAGACAAGGAACCAGCAATTTGTTACACAAAATTTGCTAAAATTACAAAGTATTATAAAAGAAGGGTAATAGTTGCCATTCTACCAAACAAAAGCAGGCAAGTCCACTTGCTAGACAAGGTATTAAGATGAGCTCTTCAGCAAGTAAGTGCCACCCAACCCCCAAAGGTAAGTAAGAGGTGTACCTGAAGAGCAGGGTAGAAGAAGATCCATAACAACTGAATCTGCTCCTTTAGTGTAAACATTTATTTCATCTGTGAGAGGATGCCTGACCACTACTGACATCCTCTTCCTGATGGAATCAAAGCCCAATGTATGTAATACTTCAAAGCTTAAGGTTCCCAGGTGAGGTAGCTCCACTGATACCTGGTCAGACAGCCTTCCAACCAGGGAACAGTTATATGCTCTTGCTGCATAGACAAGAGCAGCTTCATCTGGACTCTCTGCTTCATAACGGAGCTCTCCTTCCCCAGGTGCACTGTCCACAGCTGTCCTGCCTTGCTGGGAGCCGTAGCCATTGTTATTCATCTGTGCAGAGTACGCCAGCTTCTCTTCCAGTTTCAAAAAGGTGCTATCTGTAGATGTAGATGAAAGCACACTTAAACCAAATCTGTGCATTGATTTGCTTGTAGCTAGGCTAGATGAACTGCTGCTGTTAGATCCAGAGGTCAAGCGACTTGGGGTGAATCTTCGTATGAAGTCTTCAATGGTTTTTACTGGAGATTTTAGTTCAAATCGGTCTCTAACCTAGAGAGGTAAAAGAACAAACCCAAAAACCACCGGTGAACAAACCCCAAAGAAAAGCTGTAGAAGAATTCTGACACTGATATTCCATCTAAGCACCTCCACCCAACAAATAAAATTTCTCTGAGAGCAAAAAGTAATGGTATTTGTATTTTGAGAAAGTAAATAGACAAAACCGACTCACAACAAGAAACTTCCTAGAACTTCAGAATTCTATCTGTCTGAGAAAGCACATACATTTGTATTAAAACCATTTTTTCTCCTTTCACCTCCTCAAATATGACTAATAATAGTCTATMAAGGTTGCACCACCATCATCAATAGCACATGCTAAAAGCTATTATTAGTATGAAACCTTGCCATCCTTTGTGCATATTCGGTAAAGGCAGTGAAGTTAATACAATATTTTTCCATTGAGAAAGGTGGTGCATCTTAGAAGTAAAACTAAATGAGAATACACCAATGTTGAAAATATTCTCAAAATGTTGGGGTAAGTAATTTCCCCTCTTTCAGCATTGTGATTCAGTTTTATCATTCATCTCAGTTCACATAAATCAGTCCCACAGATTTAGCAGTGTTAATAGTAATACCATATTCATAGAAATATATATTATATTCTTGTATAACAGGGTAGCATTCCTGAAACAGCAGAACTGAGCATTCTCCAAATGTTTCCTTGGCACAAAACCACATCATTTTGCAAACTAGTTCACTTTTTATTCCAATCTGGAACAGAAGCAAACTGCAGAATTTTCTCCAGAATGGAAATTCCAGCTGCTGGTGAGCTTTACTATTACATTTCATTATCCTTTTGTCTTACACATCGTCTTGGGATTGCACTTTTGAAATTCCCATTCATCAATGACACTGGTTAAGGTAAATTTAAGCAGCAACAATCATTACTTCTCATAATGAGCTTAAGATGCATCTTTTATATAATTTGAAAGTTTTAAGTGATGCTTTTCAAGTACATTTCTTTTTAAACTTTAAAAAAAATTTCTCATCCCTTTCTTAATTTAATCCATACATATGAAACATTTATTCATTGACAGCTTACATCCCTTTCTGGTAAATTTTGCACATTTACAAATTAGTTTCTGCCCATACTTACATATGTATGCTTATTAAATGAATAAGTTACAGTACAAGAAGTCCAGAGGGTTTCAGAAGTACGTTGAAATTGTTGATGAAAGCATATCTCGCCATGGAAGCAAGTGAAATAGCTGACATACTCCATTCAGCTAATGCATTATTAAACTCACTCAGTCACATCGCTGTTCTACAAGTCATCTCACAACTTGTTCTAGCTGTTTCTCACTAGAACAGGAGGTTTTCACTTCCCTAGCTTACAAGATAGATTCGTATCAAGGTAGAAGAAGCGTGAACTCCCTTTTSATTTTTCTTTAACTTACCTTCTGTCGAGGCTGATTTGGTGCAGTAACCACAACTGTGTTACATATAGTCAAAGCTATGAAGAAGTCGAAAACATCACATAGTTCTGGACTCAGATGGGATAATGGCTGTTCGTGGCTTCTCATGACCTCCAGATGCTTTGCACACTCATTCACCTTTTCTAACAGCCTTGGGTCAGGTGTGATGTCCTTCTCCTAGTAATAAACACCAGTCATTAATATCTGTGATTCTGCACATTTCCAAAGTAGCAACAAGCAATTAAAGCATCCAAAGCAGTGTCAACACCAAGTTTTGTGGTGGCTTTACACTACAGAATGGAGGTGGAGAGAATTGTAATACATATATTCTGGACAATAAACAGTTARCAGTGAGCCTACTGGTAGAAATGGATATATGAAATATTTATAGCAGCAATATATATCTACTTTGGGGGTAGTGGATAGGGGAAGAGTTACATACTAATTTTCCTCCCTATTTCCTGTCTAATTCAAGACATCTATTTTCTAATACTACTATCTTTTGGTACACTGCAGAGACCAAAAGTGGGGAAAAAATAGACAGCAATGACATTTAAAGTTTGGCTTTACATCAGCAAAATGAAACCATCTTCAATTGTTTGTTAGAGAACAACAACCATCCACACATTTGAAGTTAATTCATGAGGCTTTTTACATTGAAACATTGAGCACTTTCAAATCCATTTCATCGGTATTTTTCACTTACTTAATATAATTCTTATCAGAGCAAACTCCATTATTTTGTGATACAGAAGGAGGCAAGGATACCACAGATTAAAGGATAGACTGATCTAAGCCTCTTTTCTCAGTAGAATTTTATCTCTTGATGCTCAGCAGCTGATGAATATGARCAAACACAGAACCCAACGTATAAAAACTGCAGCTTGGAATTTTATCRAAAGATCTTACTCTTGACTGAAATCAAGAAGTTCCACCAGTGCAAACAGCATCTTTCTTTGTCTAGATTTGCAATTTGCTTCAAGGGTCAGCAGTGCAACAATGCAGAACCCCTAAATACACRTGACTTGGCTTTTTACCCTCTTATTACCATTCAGCTCATGTAAAACTTACACAGAAATACACCAGTGTAAAATAAACCACATAAGTTGTAAGGACATAAACTCACCAATATTTTGAAAAGTAAATATATTTACTTTGTAAAACACAACACATGTAATCGACTGATAACCAATGCAACACACTAAAAACTATGCTATGGTGCATGTCAACAGGAGCTTAGAATTGGAATACGTGGCGTCCACCCTGGCACTTGACAGTTCTAAAATCCTCTGACAAAAGAGAAGMGGCATATACAGAACAATTTGAATCCTTGACCTCAATGCTATTCTCAGATTCTGTAGACGAAAGAAGACATACATTTTCTTTCCAAAATCAAAGTATAACCAAAACAAACACTTCAGATTGTTTTTACCTTCAGCTTGTTCCCACAGAACAGGCATTTAGATAAGATCTATGCCAACACTTGATTGTTTTAGTACAAACAGCTCTGGCGACAGMAGTAAAAACACCAAGATGAAGAATATAAAGAGGCACACAATGTGCTGCAGATTTCTTTACCTTCTTTTCAGGACATGGTTCTATTACAAGATACAGGACATTGCATTTAGTTCTCATGGCTTACCATTGGGCTACTGAATGCAGTGTGCTTTGAGAGTATGCTTGCTCTTTTTGCTTCAGCCCTGCTACCTGTGCGCCGGTGGGTTTTGGTGCTCTGGCTCCTGTGTATCACTTTGATGCTCTGATGGCTGCAGATACTGTCACGCTGAGACAGAGTTCCTCCTTTTGGGGCTGCCTCATCTTCCTCAGAATCAGGTTCTTGGTACATTGCTAAGCGTTTGGCTATCAGTAAAAACAGAGGGACAAATGTTGCATATGTTAAAAGTGGCTCAGAAAGAGGGTRAGGGACATGGTGACTTTGTTCAAGAGATCTAATTTTAATATTATACTGTGCTTKCACAGCAATAATGAATGATCCATTACCAGGAGATATAGTGTAGTCTTAATTGAATGGTAGTATCTAATGGAGGATGCAGATAACATAATTAGAAATGTAACACAATGCACTGCCTCCCTTATCACATTCTCTCTGAAGGGCAGTTAGACTCTGCAGTAATTCAGTGCATACCTGAAGATTATTCTACAGCTCGGCCTGACGAAATCAACCAAATAATTTGGTCTTCACTTGAAATCTGAGTAGGAAATAAACAATCCAGAAAATTTTCCTGTCATTTCCAACACAAATTTCAAATATTTTTCCAGCAAAAATGTCACATCTACCAGTGGTTAATGACATCTGAAATTTCCTCAGAACAGCAAACCTAYAGAGCACTACTGCCTTTATTTTACACACAGAGATGAGGTACAGACAGCAATAAGGCCCTGCTTAAGGTCAGGGCCATCTGCTGCAAAGTGCAGACATGAACCCAAATTCTTGACTAGTGTTAAAACCACCCTGGAGTCTGCTTCTTCCTTTTGCATGATAGGCAGGACGCAGCAAGCAGTGTGAAAACCAAAGTAYCCTCACCTACTCCAACACTTGTTTCTGTCACCATTTGCTGCAGTGACCAATTCCTGGTTTACAYASAATGGGAGTGTTTTTCCAAATTATRTTTTTTAGATTAATGCCTTCTTAGTGAAGAATCCAACTGAAACAATTAATGCYAGAAAACAATCCTGGCAGTTGGATATACAGAAATCAAAAAGGAAACAGAAAGAGGTGTGAAACAACCGTGGAATCTTGCCCCTCTGATGTTTAGCTCTAACTGATGCATAACATATTTTTTCATTCCTAAAGACCATGGATAATCTGGGTGATTCATTAGGCAGGCAAATGCCACTCTAACAGGTATCTATTTATTCCTTCATTATGTATTCATTGAAAAGCTTGTCATTATACTTCTAAAATAATCTACACTATACAGAYACACAGTACAAGTTACATACTTGTGGCTCAGTTTGTTTCAGTTCTCCAGTGTAACAAATTAGATTTTCCTAATAGCAAATGATAAATCACTAGCACATAAGTTAATTATTCAGGCATTTAACAAACAAACAAAAAAATCTGTACAAATACTTCCTGAGAAAAATCTTGCATTATATGGGGTGAATTTGGCATGAGGTCACTTTTAATGTAGCTAGCTTTACAAACAAAGAAAAGCCCACCCTCACTATCCACTGAAATTTCCAAACATGTCTTAGCTGTCAGAAAGCAGCTGGAGGAGTTGAAACCAGACCACACACAGTCCTTGTGACATCTCTATCACTACAGTCTTGTACATCTGAGGTTTTTTCAACTCCATTTGAAACACATATAGGCTTCATCTGAAATGTGGGAAATGGGAGAGTTTCCCAGTTCTGGTTGTGACTRCACACCTGGTCACTGCTCTAACTGYATGCTATGCAATATCGTCCATCRCACTCTGGYTCCTCCTGTCAAAAAATYCAGACCGTGRATGTAGCACGGGAYGTAGCGCATTTGGAGACACAGAGACGAGACTGCAGCACACACTGCAGATCACTTCTGCCCCACAGCTGGGACAGAGCCCTGCAGCCCAGGTCCTGAGGCTGATGCAGACTAACTGTGGATGACTGAAGAGTTTCCTTCATTAGCATTATCTGGTGAGATACACGATCCTCTGCTTCCAAGATAATAGCACAGCACTGTTGCCTTATACTTTCAGTACCTATGACAGAACCTACAGGACAGCTGAAAGAATTAGGGAGGTCACTGGTCTCCTTGGTCCTTCTGTTTCATGGTAATGATCTGCAAGTAAAGGGAGTTCATTTCACCTCTTCCTGCAGCTTCTTGCRTGCACTTTGGGCCAGTGTATTTTAAGCTCTCCCATCACTCTTGCCCACCAACTCATACTTCCTTCTGCTCTGTTAGCCTCTATGCATTTTCCCAGGGGAAATGCAGATCCCTATAGTGTGGATTAAAGTCAAATGATGGTAGGTTTGTGTATATCAGAAGGACTGTACACTGAGGGCCCAAAGTCAAGTGCAGCATGTACTAAGCACTAAGATCCAGGCCCGGGAAAAAGATGAGAGCAAGGCTGAAGGCAGGTAGGAAGGCAGGAAGGCAGGAAGGCAGGAAGGAAGGAAGGAAGGAAGGAAGGACAGGTGGACAGCAGTGTGTTACTTTAAGATGATACCTCAAGAACCAGAATGGAGCTGCACACTGTGCACACTGGGCTTTTGTCCTTTGCACTAGAGAGGTATGATGGAGTGCACATCTGGGGAGTGTGACAGAGTGCACACTCTGGGATGAGCTCTGTGTGAGGGCACTGCCCAGCCAGACAGTGCAAGCTCTGCCTTCATTATCTTCTGCAGGCCCCTAGTTACACATTGCAAACCCCAGGCTGAAAAAACACTGCTCAGGATGGCACACCAGTAAAGTTTTCTGAGCTTTACCAACATTTAAGATTTAAATCAAACGTAAGAAAACATTTCTGTGGCTCATTTTCACTAGGGCCCTCAGCAGCACAAACAGCCTCAAGCAGAGTCGGCATGACATGTGGAYACAGCCACTCTCAGGAAAAGCATAAGAAAAGCTTGGATTTGCCATAAGGATATTATTTTCACCGTAGATGCTGGACATTTGAATCGTAGGCTGACGGAACTCTGTGCTGCTTCTTTGCCTGACAGGTAATGTTCCTTGACAGGGAAAGGACTGGCTACAATTACTTCAGCTTTGCAAAATGTGCTACTCAGTTGTTCCAGCTCCCTTCCAAGCAGAAGTTTTTTTTTTTAAAAGGATACATTTTCTTTAACAATCATACCTGCTTAAAGCTTCTACTCTGAAAATATGTCTTGAAATATAAACCCTCAAAGATCCTGAACTGAATATAATTGTATTCCCTGTATAAAAACTCTACGGTTAAGCAGAGAATGCATTCATGTAACAATGCATGGTTATCCTGGACACCATATCTTTGGATTCCTCACTGCTCTTTCTTTTTCCTTGCATTACATCTAAACATATTTTGTTTATTCAACATAAAAAGCTGTTTCCTGATGCAGCACTCAGTTTATTTATTAGCATTACACTGATAGCGTGGTTCTTTTTAGTCTGTGTAATAGCAGATATCTCTTGCTCCCTAAATAGGTTTTATTGTAGCACATTCATTTAATTGTCCCTGCCAYCGAGAAAAAGGAGGAAAAGGGAAAGTAGAAACAAGATTGGAATCTCATTTAACCAAATCAAATGAAATTCTTTTGATACAAATGGCGTTATTTCACTTCATACCAAGGGAAGCTTGATAATAACAAAAAAAAAGCCAGAGAACCTTTCAACATTTTCAGAAAGTACAGTCTTACACATTATGCAGCAAGAATTAAGAAGTTTAAAGAAATAATGAAACCCAGTTCAATCGTTATGCTATGGCTAAGGTTCACATTTCTTCAGCTGCGCAGTGCGTGCTTCTCTGGGAACACGCTGTTCTCTCCACCCACTCAGCCCTCTCCAATTCACAACCTTTTCCTGTGAACATTATAACCTGAAAGACATTGTTGTGGGATGCTTTTCAGTTTCAGCACTGAAAAATTGATGGCCTTGATCYTTTCAATCGAGTTTCTTATTAAGGGCAAAGACACAAACAACTTTGCATGCAATGCAATTCATGAAAGTCAAATTTCACTATCCTGTAGTTCATTTTATATTTATGGCACAAAGAAGAAACATCAGCTAATACTTATTCCATTAACTCTCTCCTATCGTTCAGAAGACAGCGAGAAGCTATAAATAAAACTCCTGTAGTAGCTGCCAAGTATTTGAAGATGCATTATTTTATTTTAAAACCTTTTTCTTTCATTTCATTTTGATTTTGTTTTTTTTCTGTTTTACCTTCCAGGACACATATGTTCTATGATGAGAAGTCCATTTTGCAAGGTAAACAGAGACACTGTTATCACACAGCCAGATGTTCCACTAACTAGAAATGTGGGATTAAGAACCTGTAAAGAATAACTCTTCAAGCAGAATAAAACTGCAGACCCCCTAAACCTAAATATCTCAGCTTTCAGTGTGTGGGTGCTATTTCACCACGGAAAAAAATTCATTTGCTTCAAACCATTCAATAAGACTGCTACTGAACTGTCACAAAGTAAATCTAGATGTTCAGCACTTACACCAGTGCACCAAGTTATTTTCTTATTATTTCATAAGTGCAGGCTTATTTCACTTTGAAGTGCACTCTAGTGTCTACATAAAGATTCAGCAAAGCAGCTACCATGCTGTAAATTTATACAAGTATGCTAACATAATCCTAATTTATTTTGCAAGAACTTCCCCATTATGGCAAGTCTTGAGATAAGAAAACAAGATTTCCCTTCCTCTAACCTCTTGGCATCCCCARGGGCTTAATAACCTTAAGTTCATTATTAAGAACTCTTTACTCCACTTAGAAACAGAGATAATTCCTTTTTTCTTAACAGTTTTCTAAGAAATTGTCAGTGTATGGTTGGAAAAAAGCAGAACTTGTCTGACAATAAGTTATTCTGTCCTATACGGGATTTAAAATGGGGCACTCCCAATGGAYTGAGCTCTACCTCTGCTCATACTGGTTCTCTCTGCTTAGCTACCAATTACATTTTTTCAAAAAGCAATAAGGAATGTAAAGAGAAACTACAAATAAGCTACACAGAGTGTCTGAAGCAGCCAGTTCTGCTAAAGGTGTTCAGCTTTCTGTGAAAAGCTAAATGGACTATATGGATTTCTGAAGATTGCCAGATATTAAAAGAGGCAGATGAGAAATCCCTTTGGAAGCCTGAGGCTTTCAAACTGMTGGATTTATGGAAAAGGTTTTTTGATTTTTATGCCTCAAAAAAAATATTCTCTAACATGACTGGACTTACAAACCATGTTCTTGTGACTACACACAAAAAGATTAAGAAAATTCCACTACAAAACAGCCCCCAAACTAAGAAACATTTTTTCACATAATACACTTTCCTATGAAAATTAGTAACTAGCCAACCTTCATCAAGGAAAACTGTAGTGACAAGAAAACTTTGTTAGACAAGAGAAAATTGCTGAGGTTTTTATCATCTGCCTTCACATTCATAAACTTATTCTTATGCTGCCTACAGGTTTTTCCACAGTCATTGGATGGAAGGGGGAGGAATTCAAAGAATAAAAAATTMAGATTTTTCAGATTTGTGTGGTTGTATTCATGGAGATTAAATTCTTGTTTTGTCAACAGTTTCATACAATGGCTAGCTAAAACTAGAAAAACAGAGATCACATCCCATAGGCAAAAGTATGATTAATTCAACATCTGGAAAACAACTACGACAATTGTCAGGCCAAGACCATCTGGCTGTAGCTAAATCATGTCAGGACTTACAGAAGCAGTCAGCTTTTGGGCACCTATTGTCTCTGGGATTACCAGGCAGACTTGGGGCATGGCCAGTTCTAAKAATTGTTAGAAGCTGTCTCCTAGCCTGAATGGAAGAGCTCTGGCATGGCCATGCAATTTGGCATAGAGAGAAACACAAATTTTTTTTTTTGGGGGGGGCTAGAAGGTAGTAGTGATCTGAAGATTAATTCTGGATTTAACCACAGCGCAGTGCCAATAGGTATTCTGCAAATACCCAGGGCACTTATGAATGGGACAACCATTCTTCTATTTGGAAATGGCATACCCTGACACACCCTGTTCCTGAATTAACACTCTGCCAATCAAGAAGAACCTTTGGAGCAGACAATAGGCACACAGACATGAGGGGGCAATTCTCTTCGTCTGTACTGAGAATTGTAAACCACAGAGAAATAGGCATGTATTAGAGAACCCTCATAGATGGCTAAAACAAATCTGGTAMATTACATCCTACAAATGTTTAGTTTTCTCCAGTAACTGTAAAGTTACCAGATTATTATCCTCCATGCAAATACCAACAATTAGGTAACTTGAATGCCATCCTTGTCAATGTAGTCTCCACAGGACCCAAATATGCAGTGCAAATTCCCATAGCTTGATCCAAACCATAATCCACCAMCAAAATACTGTAAGTGACCTCAACAGTGATGAATATTTCACAGCGCTTCCATCATGGAACTATTATTAAATATGCTCACAATCTCCCCTACAGTCTTCATRAGCATTCCTGGATTCCTCTTCAGTGCTAAGCTTTACCAGTACCCATGAGTAACATTCTGTACTACCTCCAGCTGATTCCGTCCCACACTAGTGCAATTTATTGCCCTCTATTATTCATGGTTTTGTCACCTCTTGTCTAGAYTAAAACAATGCAGTGCTCCTGGGCATAGTGCCATCCATGTCATAAGAAACCAAGAGTTAACAGAGAATTCTAAAGGAAAATGTTTTCTCCAGAAAATTCATGAAAATTTGTTTCCCATACCTAAAAATGCATTAAGTCTTGCTAGGGTTTCAGTTTTAATTTTAAAGCATGTAGTAATTGCTTCAACTCCACATAAGGTCCACATAAACCTCTGTGATGAAAACTGTGATTAACACRTCCATGTCTCATGTGAAACAGAACTCTCCTCATAATCGTAAAGCTCATCTTTCACATGGGGAATTTATGCAGCTTTGTGGTACCAACTTCCAAGGAAAAAAAGGACACTCCCACCACTCAAGAAAAAGACATGCTGCCTCAAATGTGCCAAACCTAACACAGCATAGCATATATGCCTTCAAATTAGCTCCCAAAGCCCCAGGATGGTGCACTGCATGTAAAGGGAGAGGAAGAAGGGGAAATCTACATGTAAAGGAACTCATGTGCATTGCTTAATGCACTTCCTTAGTGGAAGGAAGTGAGATATGACAATGACAAATGCGATATAATAACAATCCCTGTAGAACAGAAAAGAATGGGGTAATTTCTCGTAACTCTGAATAAATTTTAGGGAGAAGAGCTTATAAAACAGCACAGAGAAAATTTATGATGGCCATGCACAATCTGTTGGTTGAGTAATTAACAGATATGCAGTACTCTTACATTATGCAGAAAAAAATCCTTTAAAAGAAAATAGAAGTTCTAAAGTTAGGAAATTTCAGACCTCAATTTGCCAGTGTAGAYATAACCATCCTGCTCTCTGTGTGTGTATGGCTTAGCTCAAGAATACAGGGCCTCCAACTGACTTCAGAGGAAATCTTGCCAGAACATCTTGCCATGGGAAAAAAAGTGCCATCTTAGCCTTGTTCTTGAATATGGCTGAATCATGCAGTTATAACTGAAATTTCTCTCCTAAAATTTATGCCTGAGGCAAACATCTGGCACAATAAATTTGAACCAATTAGTTAGAAATTTTGTACAGCTATCCAAAACTGAAACCAGGATCTTACTGTGGGCAGGGTCAAGCAATTGGAATGACAGGCACTGCTACCCTGCCACAGCAGAACAACAAACTTAAAGAGCTCAGAACCAGGGTATTTCCGTACTTAGCCCTCTACCTTTACAGCACAAAATGACCTGTTATCCACAGCTGTTGCATCATGACCCACGTAAAATAATTTTAAATTAATTGATTCATCTAAAGTGCTACTCAAAGGTTCATTCCAAGCAACAAACCACTATGCATCAAAAAAACCCTGGGATATGTGAAGACATAACATCATCTTTGAAACTGAAAAGGCAGATGCATTTTACTCGATTTTCTTTCATATACAGCAGCCTCAGATCAGTCGCTAAGTGAAAGATGTTAGAATTTTCTATTTCATGAAATCTTAAACRAAATTTGAGGTGTGGAGCAGGATAGCATCAGTTATAACATATGTGGGAAAATTCAGATACTTGGGCTGAAAACTCATTTGCAAATAAGCACACAGCAATGAAATGGTGTTGATGCACACCCAAAAACCAGGAAGAGCTGTGAYAGACATTTTATCATATCTAAACAAGAAGGTCTCAGCAGCAGAAAAGATAACAGATGGTCATAGAATTGAACTACAGAACAGAGCTARCAAAATACTTGAATGAAGAATAGTTTTTATTATTCTATTTTTAGAATATTTTTATTCTAATTATTTTATTATTATTATAAATTTATTATTTATACTGATTATAGAGAACAAAATAAATGGAAATTATCACCATTTATATAGAGAATTATAGAGAAAGACCTATTTTCCCCAGTGGAAAAAAACCAAAAGAATAAAACACTGTGTAAATATTCCGTGTCAATTAAAAATCATATTTGTCAGAAATTTTATATTGATGGGAGTTCCAATTAAGCCCAAACACAGACACAGGTGAAAAGACTAACTGAAAAAAAAAATCAGTTTATATATCTGACACTTCTGTTTGTAGTGACAGTTACTCCGTTTTCATTAACTTTTATACTGTCATACGAAATCATAAGAAGAAAGCACAAAATTAGATTTCTGATAAATACACTGCATTTGAAGGAAAATGATCTGAAAACTCAACACACAACTCAGGGGCCTGAGTTCAGCCTATTAACTGATGATACCAAGCTCATAAAAATACCTTTGCTGCACCATTTTAATTGGCAATAATATCATTCTTGTAGGGAACAGAGTACACTCTGAAATTAGTATAAACAAGCAAACAATGAATGGCAGGGAAAAAGTAGAAAAGAATTAATAATCAGAGTKTAAAGGCAGAATTAGGAGTCTAGCAACACACTTTAAGTTCTAATTCTTTTCTCTTTCTTACCTACTGTACAGAGGTAGGAAGTCACAGCTTCTCCCTAAGTCCTTTTTGTAACACTAAAACAAAGATTGAGTTCCTTGAAAAAGAGTATCTTAAATGTAAAGCAGGGGAAAAAAAGAACAATCCAATACTCCAAATATATTTTTAAAATTTAAGATCATCTTTCTAAAACACGTTTTAGAGTTCCCAGTCTATTTTGATTATTTATCTTATTGTGTATCTTTTCTGTAAGCTGAAATTCTGTTGTGTTCTTTCAGAAAACTTCCTAATTAGAGATCTTTATGTGTTGTGTAGAATAAGAAACTTATTTTTTGCAATCAGGAATGAAATATTGTAGCTATCAATACTTTTCTGCATAGACAAYATGATTTGAAGAGTTAAGATCTCTTTTCTCAAAAATCATAACAATAGTATGTTAGAGAAAAATAATACAAATTACAAACATCACAAAATAGGAAATCATAATTTTAAAAGGATGAAGAAATAACACAGGGATGACAACTCTCACATTGCCTTGTGAAAATCAGTAACTTGTTAGTGTTTTAAGAGGTTGATACTTACGGATACTCCCAAGTGCAGTGAGTTCATAGAGCAAACATATCTGACACAGACACTTTTCACAAACGAGCACTGAAAAGAATCTGGGGTAACATCAAATATGCTACTCTATCAGATTATGTTCCTTGTTAATATGAAAACTGGCAGCTTTGTTTACATTTATTCCTCAGTACAAAAGGATAATCTCATTGCARGTATTCAATCAGATGCTAATCTGCCTGTGTGCTTAAAACTGTTATTTTACACTGTATACTTCCAACAAACCAAACAATTGTGATACTAGCAGCACTATTCAATTTGCTTACATTAGCCATGTGCTCAAGTGTTTTATTACATCAGGAGCTAAAGCCAAAAGCTTTAAATGTCTTGASAATGTACTGTAGATATTACAGAACACTCTGATAAGATTGCCATTGCTAGCTGAACACAGCCTTCGAATTACATTGATSTGAAAACAGCTGTTACAGAGTTTGCTGAGTGCATTTGTGCAATTTCTTTTGTTTTCCCTTTTGATTTAAGATTACAGCAAGTTTTATGACTACTTCAGTTTGCCCAAAGAATAACTGTTAGACAGAAAATGTGACCATGAGCTCACCGTTATCATCATGGGAATACTCTGTTCCAGAAACAGTGCATCTTCGGAAAACCATCTTGTTTTCAGTAAGTGTCCCAGTCTTGTCTGAAAAGATAAACTGCACCTGACCTAAGTCTTCTGTGATATTTAAAGCTCGGCACTGCAGTTGAGAGTCTGTTTCTTCATCATATAAATCTTTATCTTGATGAATAAAGTATACTTGGCAGATTTTAACTATTTCAATGGACACATACAAAGAAATTGGAATCAGAACCTAGAATAAAGAAAAAGAAAGAATTAGGAGAAAACAGATGCAAGGACACAATGAATTGTTAAAGCTAGTTAACTTGGTACATGACTGGAACATAAAGAGGCTATGTTCTTTAAGCATCTACTCTAAAGTTATTAGCATGTTTAAAGAGTTTATTTACTGTGTTAGATGAGGAAAACCTATGGTGAAYTGCAGAGCTGGAATACATTATTACGTCTAGAAAACTGATTATCAAAACATGGACAGAAGCTAATCTTTCTTAGCCAAATAAGTTGAGGTTGAAACTAGCTGGGGAAGGAAAAAAAAAATCTTGACCCAAACTATATCATACAGTCAGAATACTGTAGATGTGAAAGGACTGAATAAATTTGTTCTGCATAAATAATAGACTGTTTACAAATTCACTTTSCAGGAATATGAGAAGCAAAATGAGAAGTGTTAATGTCTCTGTAGGAACAATGTATTTGGCCTTGGCTTTTGCACTGCAAATTATTTGAATGAAGATCAGATTTTCTAAATGCTGGAGACATGAAAAGACTTTCAGCTATTTCTTAAGGATTGTCAGAACTTCATAAAATACCTAATTTGTACCTGAGTTTTTCTCTGCTAATGTTTTTTTTTTTTTTTTTTAAAGACAGAAATTCCTGATTCTATACACTGTCTAGTTTGCTGAATTAGATATGAGGGATAAATTATAGCATGTCTATAGCATGTAAGTGTCAAACGTGGTCACTTAAACCAAAACTACGGTGAAAGGCAGATGAATTTTCTTAACCAATATCATAACCCAATCCCTCTTAGTAAAAAAGTATTTTAACATTCTTTTTCATTCCCTTTTATAAATAAATTGCTGCCTCTAGTAAAGCAACCTCCTCTAGTGTCCCACTAAGGCAAACTTTCATTTATCCCAGTGACATAAGATTCTGCTACTTCTCTTAACTTACCACCTTCWCCTTTTAAGATATTTCTTCTCAAGACCAAAAAAAAAACTTTCAACAGTTTGTTACCTGGCTGACATATGGATTTTCTAAGAGGAGTGTATCTGAAGAGCTGTTAAAAAAGTATAAAATTTATCTTCACACCGGAACACTGTACCCAAAGTGGCATCCACARTCTTTGAGGTGCTGTTCCACAGTGAGTAGGTAGGAAGTGTAAAGCTTGTTTTCTGGTGCATGGGGTTGTTCCTCCCCACATGCAGGACTSTGCACTTGTCTTTGTTGAATGTAATGCAGTTGCCCTCTAAGCAGCTTTCCAAACTGCTCAGGCTCTTCTGAAGGGCTTCTTACATACCTTAGTGGTAAAACAGGTACTACATATATTGCACATATGTAGCTTTATTACAGCAAACTAGGTACAGAGATGACAGCATGTACAACTTGATTACCTGGAACACTATGATCACTGTCAGAAATAAATATACTGAAGCTAAAACAGGTGACAAGTATTTGCCATCAGGCCCTGGAAYATCAAAAATTGGTTTCTTCTTCTCACCATATTGCCATACCCACAGACCATGACCTGCAGAAGAATTTGAAGAGACAAAAGATCAAATTAACTCCAAGGAAAACTGGTTATGGTATRAATTTATCCTTAGAGTTATGCATGAAATTGATTTTTTCCAAATATTTTGCATGACTTCTGAAAAATGCCCCAAATCCATGAGKTTTTCTGCCTTGGGTTTTGGGGTTTAAGAGAGGGCTTTGGCTGTCCTTAAGGACAGCATACAAGACTCATTTCACATTAACGTTATCCAAATAAAGAGAACTGGCTAATCTAAGTTAGCATTTGAAACAGTTTCTGTAATCACCAAAGAAAACAACACTTCTTCAGAAAGTGATTAAYTTCAGTGATATTCTGTGTGTTAAAATAAAAGAACTCCACCAACTGTACTAGATATATCACCAGTCAGCTATCATTAAACTAGCTTCAGAAYTATCTTTAATTTTACTGTGTGAATCATAACCCCCACATATACAGAACTAATRAAATAACAGTATCAGCAGAGTCAACAGCATGGGAGCTGAGGAATGACGAACAGAAGAAATTCTAAGCCGTACTCAAAATATTTTTAATTGATTGTGCTGATAACTAAATAAAGATAAGATTGTTTTGGGAAATTACATTCTTGCTAAAGAGACAGAACGTTGCCTTTTTAAGTAAGCATGAAGATTTACAGGCTTAAAACCCCTAAAATGGAATGCCTGATGTCTTTAAGGTTAAAAATCAGGGAAGAATTCTTCCACTATAAAAAGCATTCAAACTATCCCTATATGCTGGAAATCAGAAAAAAAGATCAAAGGTCTACTTTTAAAAGTAATATTTTGTAAGCCACATTTGATAAGACCGTTTACATTTTGATACATAAACCCAGCATTGAATGCTTGGGAATTAAAAACACCTAAGTGAGCAGATTATGTTGTCTCTGTACTATCAATATAAGATCACACTCATAAAGTCTTTATTGATGTATGTATTTTTATTCTTGAGAGCAAATATAAAAAGCTCCACACTGAGAATGACCTGCATTAAGGTTTGTTTTATAAATACCCTTAGATTTTCAGAAGAATTAAGAGTTATGTCTGCTGTTATACTTTATWGACAGAATGTGTGAGAATGGCCTCACTTCTGCAGAGCACCAGGCAATTAMAAAGGCTTGAGCAAATTTCTTCCCAGCTGTTTACGGCTGTCACCATCTCCAGCGGTTTGCTCTGGCCCTCTGCTGGCGGTTTGCAGCCGTGTAGCAGACGGGACAGAAGGGAAGGGGCACCTGTCACTTGCTGTGTGCCACCTCCCAGTTCACTCTCACACCTCTCMAGAGTCCCAGCTACACTGAAGCCACCCACAGGGTGGATGCTGCTCTGGGGAAAACAGSGCAGGGCAGTGGCAGAGGGGACAGCTACAGGCAGGGCTGCCTGCTCTGAAGCCTCAGCGACACTTCAGCCCTGAGCACTGGGCTCCCCAGCACTGAAACACAACCAGAGCGTGTCATGAACTCAGTGGAAACAAATAAGCTAGCTGCTTCACAGCTGGAAACACTCATCTTTAAGCAGCATTTAACAATACCTGGAAAAAGGCATGCAGAGATGTATTAAAATGGCATGAGATTGTTATTAAAACACACCACGGTTGTTAGGAAACATTCTGGTGTTTGTGCCATATGACTCACATACAAACACATTACAGACACACAAATATTAAGGATATGGAATTCATATGCCATATATAAAAATCATTTTGGGTGCCAAATGTAAAAATCAATTCTTTCTCGCAAATGAACAGAAAAATGGCCTGAAGTGAAATAACCTGAACTGCAGCATTTCCTTTACCACTCCCGCAAGTCTAGAGAGTATTCTGCTTGGATTTATGCAGACTTTTGCTTATTTCTTCTATGGTAAAGCTGCAGCCTTAGGGACAGTGAGTCCATGTTGTGTACTGAGCCCTCAATTTCATAAATAGTACTGGGTAATGCCACTGTGCTTATCATGTTTATTCTCTTCTCACAAATTACTCTGCTGACTGATTAATGATATGTTACACTCTACCACCTGTAATTTTGAGAAGTCTACATATGAACTGGGGTTTTTTTTTGGACTTGCATTTTTGGATGCTTTCAAGGGTAGTATAATCCAAGACTTCAGGTATCTGGTACTAATAACATTTATTTGATTGAGACTAAGAAGGTATTTAGATCAGCTTGTGTATCAAGGCATTTTGATTTTTGACAAAAATCAGTGTGGAGACAGCTTTATGGATTTTACATTTTGGCAGACWTGTATGTTTTTGATAAAGCTGAGGGCATGAAGCCCAACACAATGTGATACTTAAAGTTCTACAAGTAAAGGGCACTTACCGATGGCAGAAAACAGACACATGATTAGAAGTATGAGGACACACCAAAGGACATCAGCATTCATCTGTCTTTCAAGTTTACTGCGCTTGTAACGTGGTCCATTATTATTTAACAAAGCTTTGGTCTCATGCCCTGCAGAAAGAATTGCATCAAATGAGTCGTATGGAACTTTGCTATCATTTTAAGAAAACTATAAAAAGGTGGTATGCCACGTAAGACAGAAAACCAGCTCTTACCTGCATAGATTACTATTCCTGCAACTTCTTCTGTATTTCTAATGGTACATCCACGTAACAAAAGGTTCTCTTTGAACAGTCCATCCTTTTTTCCGCTTTTATGAATACTACAGAAAATTTAAAAACCGAACAAAACACAGCAAGTCAAAACATTAAACCTGTTAAATCATACTAGTAATGTAACAAACCCAGAAAACATCTTCAAAGTTTAGCTTTTTCAATTTGATGGCAGAGTATTTCCTTAGATCTTCCTCCCGGGAAGATTCTCTGTAAGACTTTGAAAACTGAGATTACTTACCCAAGAATCCCTGACATGCAGCAGCCCAGCTGGAGCAGTACCAATTGCTGTTGGATATACAAATGTCCTGGACAAATGCTCACTTGAAATACGTGGGCCAAATCAACAGCATGTGTGCAGCCAAGCTAATGCTTGGAAAATGCACTGGACTTCCTGTGCGTGTGTAAAATGACTGAGCAATCACAGTTAATCCAGTCCACCTAAAAGCAGCTGTGGAGTGGACATGATTAACCCACTATTCCCATGTTCTTACGAAAGAAATCCTAGAAAGAGATATSGGGAAATTGGGAAAAGACTGTGTGCATCTTAAGCAGTGATACTAAGGAAGAGGTGCCAAGGATAACATGCATGAGTTCACTGAAAAGGAAAAATATTCCATGTGTTCACATGTGAGAACAAGAGAAATACTTTTCAGAACCTATCACCAACTAAGAATGGCCTGAACCCTGAGCATTCATGTTGACTAACACCAAAACACATGAGAAAAATGGAATGAAGTCACATTTCTACTACAACTTACTGTCTGCTATGTATGGACTGACTGAAATGTCAGCTGACAGAGAAATACAGAAAATAGCCTTATAAGAATTAACAGGGAAATGCTAAACAATAGTAACAATTAAAAATGGCATCAGAGTTTTTATTAGGTAAAAAAAAGACAAGCCAAATAATGATTTCAAATCATTTTCAAATGAATAACATTTCATTTAATCAACTGAGGTACCCCAATGCCTCAGAGAAGACTAAAGCAAGTCTGAGCTGTTGAAATATTCTCACTTGCAGACAATCAAAACGATCATACTATCAAAGTCTAAAAAATGGACCACTATAAATAACTGGCAAAAGCTGGTAGTCCAAGAGAAACCCTGAAAATGCACATGGGCTATAAGGAAATTAACACTGTACTGCTGCAACACTGAATTATATGTCTACTGGGATTTGAGCACTTAAAATCCTGTGTTGCTTGAAATCTGCAAACTGGCTTAAAATTGTGCTTTTTATATAAAGGTGGAGTTCTTTTTATTTGCTTCCTATTTTCTGTGACTTCACATTTGGGTTACATATTCATGTTTTTCTCTGTTAGACTCTTTTTTTTTCTAAATGAGGACCAAAATTCTAATTTAAGCACATAGTTTTAGGATCTGAGTCCTAGGAACTATATAAAATATCCAGAGATCTGTAAGAAGAAAAGGTTCACACTGGTGAATTGTTTGTACTTGTCCCAGTCTAGTGGGRCTACTTGCAGACTATTCTGTAATGCTGGTTATGCTACATAACCTCAGTTGTCAGTGCTTTTAGTGAGCAGAATACACCTGTGCACATATACACACACATTTACAGCCTTTTTTAGTTCAGTACCATATATTATAGCCAACCTCTGCTCAAAAAGAATATAAATAYATATATTATAAACCCTGGTGTTTCGACAAATATGCTTAGCTTTTCTYTGCAGGGATGGAAAAAAGGCATTGGGTTTTGACGGCTGAGATAGCAGCAGCAGTGATAACATCTGACTAGAAATGGAAAAAGAAAGAAGTAGATAACATCAGATTTACAATTCTGACACAAAAATCAAAGGTGGTTTTATAGTCAGGAGAGAACTTCCCCTGCTCAGCCCRTCCTCCCTGCTGGTCTCAGATACARGAACAGTTTTTACTTCTGTTCTTTTCAGCAAACCTCAACCCAATGCCTCATCTTTTGCTAAAGCAGCATGAGCTGGGGGGTTGCCCAACATCCCTCTTGCAGAATGCCWATAGGTGTGAATTTGTCTGTGCTTAAACTATAGAAAATAATCTCTTAATGATTCCATACTGTCGAAATTACACTGCTACCAGGATTCTGTCATTCCTCTGATTTTTAAGCTGAATTCTACTTTAGGGTTTCTCATTAATCATGAGGATGTTTGAATTTCCAATAAAATCTCCCAATGATAGTTATGATTCCTGTTAATAAGTGGGATGTTATAGAGATAAACCTACTGAAGCACTGCTTGCTCTTAATTTTAAGAGCTTATAATTTTATAGACTTCATTAATTTTTTACACCTCACAGTAAGAGTGGACTGTGTCAGGTAYACTGCACATGGCAAATTTTACATACTGGGTATGTGTTCTACACAATTATATATTTGCTCTTACTGTCCTAGCTTACAAAACAACTCAAAAGCAACTGTGCAACATCTGAAGTTAACCTGTGGGTGTTAAAACCCCAAGCTATTGCCCTCACCCACAGGCTGAGCCTTTTTACCACATCTCATCTTTACTTGCATTTAGTACTGCTTTTTACATCCAAATGCTTTTTATACCCAAATGAAGTCAGACAACTCAACTGTTGCTCACCAGATCTTTAGAAAACATGGATGAAATCAAAATCTGGCAGAAAGAAGCCAGCAGAAGCTAGAGGAAACTCAGGGTTTCCTTCTTGTCTACAGTCACTCCCAGTGATTCAGTAACAACATACACATAAGACAGTTGCACACTGATGATAAAAGCAGGAAAAAATTACAGACAGAAAAGTCTGGATCAAAAAATAATGAAAACTAGATTTAGATAAAGCTGCTCATTTTGACAACAAACCTGCCAATTGCAAACATTGTGTCTGCTTTGAGAGAYGGCCTAGTTCCCATTTCTAGCTCTGTGGATTTATAAACCTTAAGCTTGTTACAAAGGCTGAACAGTCTGCTTTTGCCATTTCTGGGTTCAAGCCAGTGTAAGTTACAGGCAAAGAAAGAAATTTTTCTCTGTCATTCTTTAMAACAGTGTCCAGCTGAAGCCACTCAGATGCCTGGAATGCAATGGTGAAGCTGTGAGAAAATGCACTGGCAAATGCAGGTGCAATGCTCTTTTTCTCTGTAATTTCTCACATGGGTGACACTGCAAATRTGTATTATCTTMGCATCTAAAATACAAATGCACCACRAATTTGGAGAAGTGGGCAGATCAGAAGCAATTAGCTACTACTAGCTACAGCATTCTGAAAGTGTTTGTGCTGAAATAACCCTCTGGTTTAATACAGCAATGCAGAAATTACCCCCATGGTAGCTCTCTTCTGCCTTCTGTTATGCTTTAACTTGTTACATGTTTACCAACATGAAATAACAACGTGACCAATCAAAACTGTATTCAAAAGAGAGCATTTTCTTTTACTTTGTGGTTTATCAAGTGTCTTACAGAGCAAATGGTACAGCTGGCATTACTTTCCAAGGCTTGACACTCCCAAAGAAAATATTCAACTATCTTAAACATGGGCTCAGTGAAAATGATCAGTCACAAACTTCCTGACTCTCATTTGATGAAACTTAGTCTAGGTTGTTTAGGGCTTTTTTTTCAAGGAGTGGAGGTGTTACTACAGCACATTAAAGAGACATMACTATAGATTTATAATTGCTTTTTCTTAAAAATATTTTAACATGATTTTATATTAATCTGGGTTTGTTGCCTTATGATGAGCTTTGAAATAGAAATATAAACACGTATTCATCTCCTCCTTCTTCTTTCAATTCCAAGCTATACTTCTTTTGGTATGATCCGATAAAGTTGTATGCTCTTGTCTAAGAATAAAATCATTATTTTCAAAAAGCTGAAAAGTCAGAATCCAAATTAAAACTTCTCTTCTTCCCTTGCCTATATACACACAAAAGGTACAAACATGATTTTAAAGCAAATATTGCTATTTTTGGAGCCTGGAATTGGATTTTTGAATGCTTGCCATGCACACTGTACATAGTCTGGCTAGACACATACAAGCAGGGGGCATGTTAGGTTTTGTTCTTTTCTTTTTACACAGAATACTTTTTACAGGGAAAATAAAAGTGAGGGAATATGGTTGGGTTACCTGGGAATGCAGAATCTGCAAGASAATTAAAGCAAGCACCAGAGTAGAACTGGTAGCCTGCCTGTGCATCTGCACACCCTGAGTGTGTTCAATGCAGATTGTGGCAATATAGCTGAAGAATTAATATGCAGCACTGWGCCTGCTATGCTTTTGCAGATATAGGATGGGGCAAGGTCCATCTCAATGTATTTTGAAGGATTTTTTTTTTTTTTTAATATTATGTCTCCTTTAACCTTGGCCTGCCTATGCTACATTGTCACCTACAGTGATYATGTTTCAGGAAAACCGTGGGGAACAGAATTTTTTATGTGTTTATAGCAAATACACATACAAATATTTCTATTCTCTTGTCAGCACAGACAATAAAACCAAAGAACACTTCATATTTCAAACAGGAAAAAAAAATCTTAATCAAAACTAGAAACCTACTAAGTGGTCAGAATGTCTAGGAAACTTTGGCAGTAATGTTTCAAAACAGCTTCTACATATAGATCTCTTCAAAATCTATTATTTCATGGCATTCCTATTTAAATATTTTGGTATCATTTTCTTTCCATTTCTTTCCATTTCTCCAAGCTATTATTGGCTGGGAGCTATCTGAATCATTCTTTAAAGCAGCAACTACTGGTAAGATTTTGAACAAAAATTAAGATCTGAGTTTGACATGGCAATGACATGTTTCAATGAGGATGTGTTAATTGCTATTCATCTTGTTAATGTATGATTTGAAATAGACTCCTGATTTCATTATATTAATGAAGGAACTCTAAAAAGAGGTGAAGAAAAGCCTTCTTCTGTGACAAATTAGGAGATTTTGAATTTATTTGTTGAGGGTTTGGTCCCCACTCTTAAATTCAAATGGCCCATGGTCCTTTAGCTGTAAATCTCTTGGAGCACAGCTGATGAGAGATGGAAATCACCTCATGTTTTCTGCTAGATTCAAAATTTGTGTCAAAATATATTCACATCATGTGTGCAACTACAAAATATAAGTAAGATTAAATATACTCAATACTGAACAATATTAAAAAGATATTACCATGATTTCTGCTAYGTAATTCAAATGGCTCTGTAACTGCTGTGCCACAGGGCTTTTCCACATGGAGTAAATAAGTAAATATATAATGGAAAACAAATTTATCTATATTTTCTACAGTATTCTGCTCAATATTTTGGGGACTAAGATTCACACATAAAGTGTGTTAGAAAGCTGCCAAACTTTCCATTTCCATATCTGGAAATGGCATGTCTGCAGTAGAGCAGGCTCTCTATTAATGGAGACAGTTACACACCATCATGCAGTAATATCYAATACTAAACCTTTTTCTTTACATGAACTGTAGGGCTTTGTGCTGCTAAACAAAGGAAGTCATTTCCCATACTACAGCTTAATGTAGTTTCAAAGAAACTGTCCTGATTWACACCAGTTGACAGTGCATCCTACACAATCTCTGACATCTGAGAGTAGTAACTGTGGTGGTAAATGGCATCACTATAAAAAACTCCCTGAGCTCCAGCAATTTACCTYGTGACATTTACACAATTTAATACTGCTTATCACTCCTAATCAACATGGGTGGTAAATCACTGTATTTGAAACAGAATTAGTGTCAGCTTAACTCTCTTCATTAAAATCTAGGCAAAAATTATGTATCCTGGGCTCTTACTCTCCAGGTGCTAASAGACAGTAGGAAAATAAGTCATAAAAGAGTGCATCTCCTAAGCCACCACAACCAACATGCCTGTACACTACAGTCCAGGCTACATTAGAAGCAAAGTGCTTGCACATCCTAAARCATTTGCTTCTTGAAGGACTGATTGTGCCAGAGATAAGCACCCATGTCAAAACATGGCTCTGCTTGTTTAGAATTAAGTCAAGCGGGCATAAGTGATGTGGAAATGCACAAGAACACCCATAGTGTGAGCCAGTCATTACATTTTGTATGAATGAGAAGAAAAGAATAGTGCCATAGCTGGAGAAGTATCAGTTTTGCCTTCTGATTTTCCTCAATGACATACATTAAAAGAAACATCCAACAGACCCGTCTTCATAAAACTGTACAACAGATTGTGTGTGTTTGTTGCCTCTCTTGGAATGTATTCTATTTCTTCCCATTTCCAGATTTTTTTTTTTTTTTTATCCATGGAAGAAAAGGAGAAAAGGGTCTGTAACTGCAGTGCTTCTTACATTCATTTCTGTAGAGTAAGGTGATTGAAGGCAGAAAATAAATCCATCCTAAGGAATGGAAACATGGGGCTCCCATCTTACATTGCAGTGAGGATCCCCTAAAAGAGCCTTAATATGCAGCCCTATTGAGACATGATGATGATGCAGCTTGCAGAAGACCAAAACAAGCATTTATTTTATGACATGTTAGAGAAAAGGAGTGTATACTGAAGGATATTATATGAAATACTCACATGTAACCTCGAAACCTACTTAAGTCATTGTTTGGCTTCTCGCATTCTATCACACTGGTGAACTTCAAGGGGTCGAATTCTGAGTCCTGGAATAATAAGAGTGTTTATTATTTGCAGCTAAGACTTGACAGTTATATTCAAAATCACTTTCTTTTTTAGTTTTTGTAATATAATTAAGTCCATTTTTTTTCCAAGGGCAATCAAAGCAAAGACGCAGACCACTAACACTGAAAATCAAAGGGACTGGGGGAAAAAGTCTCCACAGATGCCTTCCAAAATCTCCCTTACAATGATGACTTCTATTATGCAAGTGGAAGATGTCAAATGAATTTGGTGTGGAGTGGAAAAATGATTTTCCTGGGAAATCTCAAAATATTAAATATTATCATTATACTTCATGTGCAGTGAAGCCACTGAAAATCTAGGACAATATAAGTCAATATACTGACAATTACGCAAAAGCTAATTTGAGCTTTTGAAATATTAGCAAGATTTCTTAATTGCTTTATGCCAACAGAGAKAAATTAATCTACTAAATAAATTACACACATATGGAAGAATAACTTTTTCTTAATTATCACTTAAAAMCTTTCTTGATTGTCTAGCTCATTACTCTGAAGCTGCTATTGTTGCTGACTATTTAAGTTTAACTGTAGTWAGCACCTTGTTGTGTTTGAGGAAAAACATCGTATCACAGCAGAATTACCTTCTTTTGGTAAATAAAAAACAGGTTCTCCCTTCTTTGCCAGATCAAACCACACACTGAAAGCAAAGATATCTGATCCTGGTGCTTAAGAGAAGGCTGTTTATCTCCATCAATGAGAACTACTTTTATAAAGCTGCTTTGCATACTATTTGAATAAAATAACCAGTCATGAATTAGCACATTATTAAGGTTTCAACAGGGATAGCACTTCATATGGTATGTTTTATAAAGGTTTTGCTGAGCTGCTGAAAACCCCAAACACTACTTTTTAGAGCAAACTTGTGAGAATAGTTGCCTGAGAACCAGTAACCAAAGGACAGACACAATTTTACTGCCRGTTTCTCTGAAACACGCAGATATGTGAGATGTTTCTGATGTTGACTCTACTCTGGTGAAAGAAACCAGATTCTAAGTAAGAGATAAAAGAAACCARAGGATATGTCAGCATCAAAAGCAACACCCTCCATTTTTCTACCAGTTACACCTGGGAGAAAGACAGACTTACACTATATAGGTGGCAATTCAAACCACCCACGCCTGACACTTTTGAAAACTTTTTCTRTATTTTCAAGAAACAAGAGATGATAAAGAGAACCGTGAAAATGGGCTGTCACTTAGAGACAGCTACAGCCCACTGCAGGARAGAAAAATCTTTACATGCAGAATTCAGCTTGTAAACAAGGAGAAAAAAAAAAAGGAGTAAAAACAAAGGACAGCTCTGAGTAGAGACTGTTTTTCTGAGAATCAGGTTCCCCAAATTACGTCAAGGTTGGCAGTCAAGAACCTGAGCCTTATTAAGAAATAGAACCYGCTCTGCTGCCCCAGAATATGATCTTTTCCTTCCTTGCCCCAGTATATTCCTTGGTAGAAGAAAAAAAAAAAGTAGAGGAAAAATAATCTACAAACATTCACCTCTGTAGCTTCTTTCTATTATAATGTACGATATGTAATACATTTTATTTAGCACACATTTCATTCATCAGCCTTAAAAAAAAAAAAGGAAATTAATCCTAACATCTTTGATGAATGTCTGTGAGGGAATCCTAGAGATACCTAATAATAAAACCCAGTGTAATCAAATGTAGGTTTTGTATGGCTGCTGAACTCAGCAGAGGGAGCGAGGTTGGACGCATCTTCTAGAGCAGTTGGACAACTGAATTCCCTTTCTGCTAAGAAAACCTGCCAACAAGGTTTATATTTCACAAATAAAAAGAAAGAAAAGGTACTTAAAATCTAGAGGCTTCTAAAATCTTCACAAAAAAAGAAAAATCTTGTTGAGATCAGAAAGGACTAAAYGTACCTAACTTCCCCATCACTGCCATGCAATATTGTCTTTCTCCCTCCTTTGTTTGTTGAATTATTTTAATCTATGACTCAGTTTTGGAACGAAAAGTCCTCTATCATTAAATCTAACTGTCTGTATATTTGTGTTCTGTTACAATTAACTTGAAATATGTGATTATGGTCTTTAACCAGATAATATCTGGGAGTGAAAATCCAATTAGAATAGTAGTTTACATAAAGAAACAAAGCTGATGAATTCTGATTTATGACAAAAGCTCTTTGACTTATTAATAAATCAAATTGCTCCATCTCTTCCTGGTTAAATGGAAGAGCAGATATACACAGTATCTTACAGCTGATGACACTGTTTTGATGTGAAAACACCTTWTGGTAAATGAAAGAACAAATATGCTAAACACAGCCTGTCTTTCAGTGGTTACAAAGAAGCGCAAAGTTAGCGTAAGATTTCACAATGATCAAAGTTTTGCTCATTTTCATGCTCATACCTCTACTTTGGCAGCAATTGAAACATGAACTGTGATGTTCTCATGTATTAAYAGCTAAGAGGAGCTGCAGTTAGACAGAAGTTAAAGCCAAAAGTGTTGCTTTTACAGTGCACAGATTTGCTCTTTTGTCTCGGTAAAAGCCCATAAAAAATCTCCACCACCACCTTTAATTTTTCTCTAACRCTGAATTTCTGTGTCACTATTAAGACACAAGAAATAAGATCAAAATACGGTAAAGCATTGAACTTACCAGACCTTTGTGCAGTAGTTATCTGATGTGCCTGATTTTGTRTATCTTAATTCCCAGTTAGAGAACTGCTGGGCATTAAAGCTGTCCCAGTACCAAGAGGGATGAAAAGCTCCATACCTAGACAGACTGCAATCTGAAATGAGGCTTTCCGGTGCCTCATTTCCCTGAAATCTTGACTTCTGTGGTGTTATCTTCATCCTTCTGTGCACATCAAGGCTGGGTCATAYACAAAAGGAAGCTGGAGGCATTTTTAAAATTTTCTGAAGGTATATATCGTATTTTTATTTGGTGACTTGGCAGATGTCCCAAACTTGTGCCTTGTGCACCACTGATCTGATTKCACATAAATTCCCCAGAGTATTTTACAAAACTGTTGGATGCTAAAGGCCAGGGCTAAGTTCTGTTCATATCAGTCATATATTTCTGTTGAACAACCAGTTCTACTTCTGCTACATTTTCCTTGCCRTGACTAATTCTAAGGATAATCCCCTGCAAAATAAAGTAAGGCAAAACTTACACCTTTCACTCAAGGCAGATGTCTTGCTACTAGGTAGTGCTTAACCTGGAGCACAGACCAATGCTCTAATAATTGACTGTGCTTCAGGAGAGTATTAAATTATGCTCAAGATACATCAGAAGAGTGAAATCCACTTCTTGCATGATTCTTCTGCCATATTATGTCACATCAAAATGAAAAAAAAAAAAAAACAGGAAAAGGAAAAAAAAGAGAAAGGCTTTTGTTAAATAAGAAACTGGCTTTCATCAAATCCCTGACTTCACTTTTTGATTTTGCCAAGATAGCTTCAGTCCACTGCTTTCCTCAGAAAAAAAACTCCTGACTTCTTAGGAAGTCAGAATACCTTCATAGGTATTTCTGAAAGTTTGAAACTTGCCAAGAGGACACAGGGTACATTGGGTATTTTATATATTTGGGGATTCCATGAAATGTRTTTCATCTCTTCAGGACTCCTCTTGCCAGGAAAATGTTTAACATCCTATACATAAAGCCTATGTCTTCCACTTTCTTAAAACCTTAAGGAAATTCATTCTTAGTCTAAATGGAGCAATGGAAAAGCTTATTTTCCTTACATAAGCAGACTTAGTCAAACTGCAAAAACCTGCTAAAYATTGATTCCTTCAAAGCTGAATTCCAAATTAAAGTTAAATTGTAGATGTAAAGGATTTTGTGACTAGCCTTTTAACAATGCACTAGCTAGTAAATCTGATAAAATGTTCCATTTAAAACAATATCTTAGGTCTGCAATAACTTGGCTGTGCCTCATACCCTAAAAAGGCRAAGTGTTGAGGGGAAGAAAGTGTTACAATGCCTTTACAGAGTGGGAAACGAACAGGTAGACAGATAAAGACAGTACGGAGATTTATCACAAAAAAGCAGACTGAATTTAGCAGTCTCCAACACAACTTTGTAGCTTCAGCTGTAAGATCCTTCTGAATTTCCACAGTGAAATGCCAACCTTTTCAATTCTGCTGGCAACCTCACGAAACTGTCATAGCTCAAGAAGCAAAGCATGCCAGATGAGTCAGTTTGACAATTACACAATGTTMAAACAACATATTTCCCTTCATTAAATGCCTGTTGTATGGGTGATTTAATAGCCTGCTAGTGATATTAATAATGCATAGTTATTAAAATGTTTTCCTTTATTCATCTGCCCTACTTTACTGCTGCAGAAACCTGACTGCTGTTCAGTCCTTCCTTCCAACAGGACAGCACTGGGTACCCTTGATGCCCTGGGGTGACAGTGACAGTTTCCCGCTTATCACATCGTATTTACTGGCTATGCTGGGGATCTTATCCAGACTTCTCCCTGCAGTACAGGGCTGGTGAAAGCTCTGGGATTTGTTTTGGCATGTATGTTTGGAGGAAAAAAAAAGGAGAAATGGAGTCATGGGGACAACGCAAAGAAAATATTCAATAGACAAAAATCTGCCTCAGCCAGAAAAATAACTTTTCCAGTTTAAAAGCTTTTCAGTGCACTAAGAACTCATCCTGTTAATGCATTGCTCCATCCTATTACTGCTTTATATAGCAGTACCCTGCATTTACCTTATAAAATTAATCTGACCTTTTATTAATGTAACTGGAATTGCATACTGATGTTATGTATCCAAAGCATACAGACTGTTTATATACTGAAAGAGTGAAATGTTTTCATGTCTAAACTGCATTAGTCTTTCTGGCACAATTTATCTGTGCCACTATTTCACAAGAACAGGAAGAAACAGTTTGATCTATGCCATTTGGGAACTAAGAAGATCCAGCTGTACATCAGAATTTAATTGTTCTGTTTTTCACACTGAAAACTACTATCATAACTG